TTGATCACTTCAACCAAAAGAGGTAAAAATATTTAGAAGCCCTAGGTATTATAGACCAGAATGAGGAAAGAGGGCCCTTCAAATGTTATAATTTATTTCAGGATCAGAAATACAGCTTCACATTTTCACAATTGGTACATATGACCTTCAAGAATGATACAAGTCTTAGGAATTTTTCTTCAAAAATTCCATTCACAGAGTCCATATACCAGCATTAAGAAATCCTGAAAGTGCCAAGAAGACAGTGGAAAAATGGCTCATATTAATTATCAACAGAGAAAGACAAGTGTTTGCTTTTGTATACTCCTTCATAAAAATGCAAAGGAACTTGATTCAGAAAAGGGAGAGTAAAGAAACAGATAAACAAGGTAAATAAAGGCTGTACATACAAAATAAAACAAATTAGATTAATAACGGTGAGATTTCTGGCTGGGAAAACATTTTTACAAATCAGCTACAGAAAATACAACAGGGTCATTTTTGTCATAATTTTAAAAACATTACACAATGAGCAAAGTTTAAGTATGTCGAAGGTAAAGATTAAGTAGAAGTTCATCCCTTGAGCTGAACCTTGTGTGAAACCTTCTACCAGAGAGGTGAGAAGTTTCACCCATATACCAGTATGACTAGGCCTTAGGACAAACGGGACACTCTTCCTTGAGTTTCCCCTCTTGCTCTCACACATATACACATTCTTACATATATGTGCTATGTACATACACAAACACACACAACTTGCTTATTACACATACCTCAAAAGCATAGTTTCACAAAGCACCACAGAATTTTAAACATACTAATTAGACAGAATGGCTTAAGATTATCCCAGAAGACACATTTGAGCTTTTTAGAAAGGATTGAGTGATCTGGTGAACCAACAATGTTTTCTCTAAGGTCATCTAACTTCCTTTACATTTGAACTCTAATCTCATAGCTGGGAGTCATCTAGGTGAGTTGATATAAAGCTTGTGGTTTGAGTCACATACATTATCTTCTTTTGTTGAGTCCTATGGGTCAGACACCTATTATTTAGGTTTTATTCTTAATTCTAAGGAGATTCCTGTCAGTATAATGATAATCATACTGTTTGCCAAATTAAAAAAATGAATATATTTATGTGAGAAAATAGATAACCTACCTCCAAGGTTCTCAAATAACTTCTCTCCTGCATTTTTTGGCAAACTTACTCAGAAAAATCCACTACTTTTAACATGTTACTGTATTCCTGTATTTTCTTTTCTTACATTTACCATCAAGAGAAAGACTGTAGATCAACTTAGCTGTTTAAGATTCAGCTCAGTAATCCAAAGAGAACTTATAATTCTAATTAGAGATCTTAAAGGTAGGTCTCCAGGTTTTATTTCTTACCAAACTGTATTGTTAAAGGTAATTCTTTTGTAGATAGCAGTGCTGTGGATATAGACATTATTTTATATGTTGCCATGGTGATCTTGAGCTTTGTACCTCTCAAGGTGAAGACTAATTTGGAATTAGAAAATTTCATATACTTCATAGATGTTATGAGAAATCAAACACTGTTATCTCATGATTGTAGATCCTCCAAAGCTATCTCTTGTGTTGGTACAACTGAAAAATATATTCATACCCACACATACTAAGCACATGTATACAGATATTTACACCATACATATACATCTATATACATTGCACATAAGTAACACTCATGCTTGTGGGATTTTAACAAGTGTTTTTAAGCCTACCAATTCAAAGGGACACAAAATACATGTACTCATAGAAACAAATTTACTATGTATATACTGTATACATAGAGACACATGCATAGAAAATGTGTTTGTACACAGAAAACAACAGTTATCACATACTGGTATTAGGTCCCATTTTGTATTTGAGAATTATGGCTGCAGGCTATACTAAAAAGTCACAAAAGGAATCTATGTGACTACCTTTTAATTCTAAGTTCAGAAGGCTTATAGTTATATCACAGGAACTGGTTTAATTATAATGTTTTGGAGTCAAGTAAGTTCGCATCTGAACGAAGAACAAACTTGCTAATAAACAGACCCTACTGATCTTCTATGTTGTAAAACACAGCTAAAAGCGATATTCAGAAGAGTATCCTTGGTAGATGATTTTTGGAAATACATTATACTTGTTCTAAATCAATACTATTTCAATAATCTGTCCACAGTTGAGTAAATGTTTATTCCAATTAGCCAATGTGCATGCAAGATTTAGCATGTGAAAATAAAACTAGATTTACCTATCAAATATACAATTTATTTTTCCAAGTCCTAAAAACACTGAATTTTCTTTATTATGCTAGACATGATGGAGCTACATCTATTGTGTTGACAACATCAAAGCAATCAGTTAAGAGAAAATCACACAATAGATCAGAAATGGTATGGAGCTCATTATGCTACATCCCCATCTTAAGGCCTGATGTGCATACTGCACCTCAAACTATGCACATCCCAGAACTTCAGACTTCATTCACATTGACATCTCCTTTTAGCAGGATGCAAACCCTTGCAACATAGTACTGCAGCAAACTGAAAATATTCTCCAACTGACTGATGAAATTCTAGGGGTGGCTGGGTTCTATCAGACATAACTTAGGAGTGAAAGAGACCAAAAACATACCCACAAAGGGAGACAATTGGGACGGCACAACTGTGTGACTATAATCTAAAAGCAAAAGCCAAAGATGACAAATGCCATTGTTTATGGCTGCCTAAGATCAGTGGAAGGAAACTTGGAAAAAAATCCCCAATTTTCTTTGACATGGTTTGTGCTGATCCAAGAACACATCAGTGGTTATCCACAATATTTTCCTTTAACAGAAGGAAATTTTTGAAATACAGCAAAATGCAAAACCACATTTAGCACAAAGCCAAACCCTGAAGTATATAATCTGTTAGCTGCCTCTTTTAGAGAATTCAAAGGAAGAAGCAAAGGGAATCCTAAGAAGAGGGAATTTTATGAAAAGACCTTACTGCAGATTACTTGTTTCACTAGGGCTGTTTACTTAATATTTTTACATTTAGCTGAGGCACTGTTTTGAAAATACACTATGTATCTTGCACACTGGTCCCATTCACAGTGTGTGTATGTGTGTGTGTGTGTGTGTGTGTGTGTGTATTCCACCCCCCCCCCCTCCCAGAGAAGTAAGATTTGAAAGGACTTAGAGTGGTGATATTTTTTCTACAATCACTTGTAACTTAAAAAGTTGAAATGCCCTTTTTGTAAATCTTGTATTCTCCAAAGTTTACCAATTAGGAGTGGGCTAGCTTATAAGCCTGTAAGAGTAAGTTCAATACAGTTCCATTCAACTTGGCAAGTTCTCTTTTTAATAAGGGTAAGAGCTTTTACTTCATACTTTATAGGTGTCTGCTTTGAGTATAAATGACACAGGAAATTAAAGTTAACATACAAATCATATTTGCTGCTTTTAAAGGGAGACATTTCAGTTGGTAATACCTGATTTACTTCTGTAAAATATGAAATAGTATCACGGGACGCCACTATTCAGTGAATACTTGCTCTGCTGTCTGGGAACAGTTAGCAGACAAAATTCCAATTGGCTTCTGGCTGTTTCCTACATGTTAATCATCTGGTCCTAGGTAGTTCAAAACTTAGTTTCAAGAATGAACTATTAACCCCTAGGTTAAACTGCTGTTGTAAATTTTAGAAATCTTAGAAATTGAAAATTTGCTTAGGATCTCAGTGTTCCAATGCCATTTTCTGGAGTGTTCTTGCTAGGGACGCTGAAGCAGTACAACTGCAAACAAAGGTGTGAGCTGCGCTCCTACACCAAGGCATCACTTCCTGATTTTTCTTTCCAATGCAGGTATAATTCTTTAAATGTGATTACCTTGTAGTAAGCCTCAAGATGTATTAAGAATGCCTAGAATGTTAGAAACTGGTTAAGATGTATTCTTACATAATTATTTTTTATGTAAAGAATATAAGGAAATTACAAAGTAGCAAGAATGAATTTTTTTTTCTTCAACCAAAATAATGACAATATTGTACTACTACTACTAAACTGGAGTTTGTATCGAAGTATTTTTAGTCATGTCAAAAAAACAGATCAACTGGAAAAATTAAATATTTTCTATCAGGGTCATCACTACAACCTACCAAGAGATGAATTTAAGAGAGTAAACAGATTCTGTTTTTCCAGACAGTTTTTTAGACATGGGATTTTTTTGCTTCTTCCTTGAACTCGGAAACTCATTAGCCAAATCTATTGATTACCGAACATTAAGCTTTGATGACTGTTGTATATATATGCTTCTAGCATGAAGCAAAACACACTGGCATGAGCAGAAGCTCTCTAGAGCAAACAATGCAGACTTCTCCTTTGCCAACTACCTTGTGCTTCTAACCACACCCCCCCCCCCAAAAAAAAACACTCTTCCTAGTAGTTTTATGAAAGAAAGAGTAAAGAAAGAGGAGTTAAATAGGTAATAACGGGTAGATGGCAGAATTTAAGTCAGACAACAGAATTTCTGCCATTCTACACAGAATGTGGGAAATAAATATGCATGTATGGCTTAGGTCTTACACTCACCATCTCATATCTGTTAAGAATTTTATTTAATGAACTACCATGTAAATAACCTGGAAAATGTATCCAAAGCAGTTTCCAATATATGCCAGGGTAGGCAAATGGTACCAAAAGTATAGGGCTGCTATACAAACCTACCTTGGTCAATACAACATAGAATGCCTCTAAGAGTCTGCAGTTTTCAAGAGTCAAACCTCAAAGATTTGACACTGTGAGCCACGGGATGAGTAATGGATGCATTAGTAAAACGGGTTACTTGCCTACTGATGTCCACACATGCGACTACTCAATGGTTTACCACGACGGTTATCAAATATGCTGCTTTCACATAATTCATTAGTGATTTAATTGCCATGCCAGACACTTCGTTTAGTCTAACAGGGAGGATTCTAGTGGACGGATTATAGTGGGACGAGTTGGTGATGGGGGTGGTCTCCGGCTAGAAAGAGAGAAAGAGAAAGGTAAAGAAACAAGTGGAATAGCAGAGAGTCAGTCATTCCACGGACACTGAGCGAGAGCCACCATGCACATGCTCATGCATACGGGCCAGCAGGAGCGGCTGCAACCGTGATGATCTCCATAACGTCACCTTCATTCACCCAGCAGTCGTCAAAAAAATTAGGGGCTTCTTCACACGTGGGTATTTTTCAAAATCAAATTCATCCCCTTTGGTACGAATCAAAGTAGGAAATCATTTGAAAGCCATCTGAAATACACTGCACACATCTCAGCCATCAGAGAACCATGACTGCTTGGGGTAAACTGTGCTATGTAGTGTCGACCTTAGCAATGAATAAGGTGCATTAAGTCTCAGGCAATGATGGTTTTGGATTTTTAATTTATCTTTATCTTCTCTTCTTCTGTCAGGGTGTCACTACCTCTCATCGTCTTTTTTTGTTGTTGTTGACAGGCAGAGTTAGACAATGAGAGAGAGAGACAGAAAGAAAGGTCTTTCTTCCGTTGGTTCACCCCCGAAATGGCCACCACGGCCAGCACGCTGCACTGTCCGAAGCCAGGAGCCAGGTTCTTCCTCCTGGTCTCCCATGCAGGTGCAGGGCCCAAGCACTTGGGCCATCCTCCACTGCCTTCCCGGGCCACAGCACAGAGCTGGACTGGAATAGGAGCAACCGGGACAGAATCCGGCACCCCAATCGGGACTAGAATCCGAGGTGCCGTTGCCGCAGGCGGAAGACTAGCCAAGTGAGCCGCAGCGCCAGCCCTCTCATTGTCTTTAGCAGCAGCTTTCTCCAATTTTTCTACATGTTGGTACTGATTTGCAGGACACTAGGAAGTTGGAAAAGCAAGGCTTTTAGGGTTTTCTGTAATAGGTATAAATTGGCTGAGCTCTAGATCCTATTTTGGGTCTTCCAGGTCTTATTCTCAGCAGCAACTTTAATTAGTTTCTTTCTGGTAATGGTGTTTCTGATAGCTGAGTAGGCTGAATAAACATACTGCAGGTAATAAAATATTACTGTATTTGAGAATTGTGACATTATGAAGTAGCATTGCATTAGTAACTTTGTGTGCATGCGTGCGTGTGTGTGTGTGTGTGTATAGTTGACTTTGTATTATAACACTGGAGAAGAATTTTTAAACTCTTTAAGAAGTCAATAAACTCTGCAAATGGAAGCCTTTCTTTTTGATAAAACACTCCAACTAGTTTTTTTCCCCAGACTCTTTCTGGAGTTATACTTATGTCATGGAACTTTCTTCTGTATTGGAAACACTAAATTGATGAAATTGAGGGTCTTTCTCAGATATAAAGAAGTTAAGGAAGCTGAAGAAAACAATTATTAAATGTTTTAAAATCATAGAGCTACAAAATAAAAGTAAATGGTCAAGGAAAAAATAAGCAGAAGAGATACTGATGATTAATGGTGAAAATACTGACCCCATAGGTGCAAACTCATAGATTATAGTGGAGTTTCTTTTGGCTCTTGCACCTGAAAAATGTCAGAACTTTAAAGGAAAAGTTTTCCTTGGGAAGGGCTGATCTGACTTCATGCCCCGTGCTTATGAAGCAAGTACTCAGCTCTGAAAAGTATAATTAGAGACACTTTATGGGCACAATGACAGAACTAAACCAGTCAATACCAGTTGTTCCATTTGGATGAACAAATAAGTCCTCTCTTTGCAGAAAGGCTACCATGACATTTGGACGGTTTTGACAATTCTCCACCAGGAAAAATTCCTCCCCAAATTACCTTTCTACTTACGATGATGCAAAAACACTTGCCTTTGTGCTAGTACATTGTTCATTTTTGTTTAAAATGGCCATATTTTATTTATATCTTGAATCTTGACCCTGTGTTATTTTCTCTGTGGGTGTGAAGTTTCTAGACTCCTGAGGTCATGTCCATGTAACTTGTGCTATACATAAATGGTGTTATACCCAATTACCCTCTGTTCATCTCAGCGAATCTTTCTCTGACCTACCTTCCCCTGCTCTGATACAGTGGCTTTTATGGCATTTCAACATTCTTCGATTGTTAGTCACCACACTGAATTCTAATTGGGGTTATTATGCTTATCTTCACTAATTTAGAAACGAGCTGTGTCTTACACATCTTCATATTCCTTCAATGTCTGTTCTAGTTTGCTGCTTGCCATTCAGTCACTAAATGTCTGACAACAGAAAAAAAGGAAAGTTATACCTGGAATAAGAAAGAGCTTATGAATGCTTATGGTATCTCTTGGTCCTACCATCATACAAGGATATTTGTTAGTAAATCATGGCTTTGGCAAAAAAGAAAATAAAAACCTAAAATGACATGTAGGATTGAGATCCTTGGAAACTCCACCTATAAAGTGTTTGACTTCTTAATTCTTTAGAGGCTGTTTGGAAAAGTACTGAATAATAGGCCTCCTGCTCTCAGGGAGGTCAAAAATGACCAGTAACCCATGGAAAGGCATTTTTAGCAATTTAGCAGTTATGGCGGTGAGGGGAGGGAGCTGACCAGAATCTGAACTTGAAGGAGGAAAATTCTACCAAAGGGTTCAACAGAGAACTTAGTAAGGGGATTTTTGTTTGAAAAAAAGTATATCTTAGGCTATAAATTCAGTGAGGGAGGATACAGCCCGGGCATAGTGTGGTGAATTAGAAATTGTATGCATATGTGCAGCTTGGACCTAGGCTCATAGTCAAGAGAGAAAGGAATACACACGGGGTTCTCTTCCGGTGCTTTTGTTCTTGGCTTAAATACCATTCCTCAGTCTTTCCTGAGGACTTCCCACTTCCCTCACAACATGTTCCATCACTGCATGATGTTTGTGTATTTCATACTCTTAGCCCGGCCTCCGATTACAGATTTGTTTATGGCCTGTGTCCTGAATATTTTGAAAGTTCCTTGAGAACAGAAACTACATATTTTGCATTTATATGTGTATTCCACATTTAGTAGAATGTGATTAGAAGGCAGTGAATACTTATTGACTAATGGACAAATGAATGAGTGAATGAAAAGCACCTAAACTTGATGTTTAGCCAAGGCTACATTGTAGGTAGGTTAGCTCAAGGTGAACAGGTCCACGGAAGCTAAGGATGTAATCTTTTGTTTTTATCAGAGGCTTATATTTGAGGCCATATGTTTACATGCGGAATCGTGGATCAAAAGGTAACAATGTGTATTCTAGTTTCAACTGCTGAACTGTACAATCATTAACCCCTTACACTTTTTTAGGCCTCAATTTTCTCAACTACAACACGGGACAGTTTCATGATATGCACCAGATCTTCCAGTTAACACACTGTGCTATTTATGGTGCATCTAATTAAGTGGACGACATGGTGATGTATGATTTTAAGAGCTCAGAATCTAGAGTGGGAGATGGGTGGAATAAGACAAATATGCAAGTAGTTTTGTAATCCACAAAACAAGAGTTTGAGGAACATCCTCCTGCATAACCAAGCAAAACAGTAACATGTCCTCTGAAGTTGTCTTTTAGGCCCAGAGAGATGAAACAGGTATCTTCAACCTAGCTGAGAATCCAGCAGGACCCAGTCATGCCCACAGCCAGGAAAACTGAGCATGCACAAGTGCCCAACCTTTCTCTAATTTTAATGCAGATATCTCCACCCTAGGAGGAGTTTAAGCCTTATTACCATAACATGCAATATTAGTCACAGCACGCTTGTGCCCACCCTTCCATGTGATGACAAGTACTTCCTCTCCTGTATATTCATTTTTCCTAGACAAAGCACCCACTTCCCTTTGCTCTTGAGAACCACGAACTTAGACATGATTCACATGGATTCCTTATTAGCTGAAAATAAATTACTCTGTGACGACTGCTGGTGGAGGTTTTGATTTCTGCTCATTAAGGAGCAGATCCACAACTTGAGTAACAATTTTGCTATGGAACTCCATTTTGTGTGGAGTAGTGGGGGCAGAACTCTGTAATTCAAAGACTGAGGACATATTTTGGGCAAGTTGAAAATACAGTAACATGGTGAAAGCAAGGGAAAACATGATTTTAACTGCTGAATATAAAACCTGAAAGTTATAAGAATAGGTAGGTCTGGAGGGAAATTAGAAATCAAATCAAGTTTGGGGGCAAGAGGTGAGGACAGAGAATGGAAAGACTTGAATATCTGAAAGCACAGTAAATTCTCTTTTTCATTCCTTAGCTGATGCTGACGGGATAAGACAGACAGCAGTCATGGGCAACTACAAGTAGAGACCAAGGCAGGAGACTATGAGAACATGTGTACTGCGATGTGTTGGGTCTATGGTTTGTCTCCTTCACCACTGCATCCCAGATCTTAGTATTGCCTTGGGTTCATAGTATTTTTCCCCCAGATAAATGGACCAGGAGAACCTATTCATTATGAGCTCTTTAAGGGTGTCCCGAGGGACTTGATTTGAGTAGGCACCGCTTAGCTGTGTGGTGAGTTAATGATTGAAAGAACAAAAGATAGGCCGGCGCCACAGCTCAATAGGCTAATCCTCCGCCTTGCAGCACCGGGACACTGGGTTCTAGTCCCGGTCAGGGCGCCGGATTCTGTCCCGGTTGCCCTTCTTCCAGGCCAGCTCTCTGCTGTGGCCAAGGAGTGCAGTGGAGGATGGCCCAAGTCCTTGGGCCCTGCACCCCATGGGAGACCAGGGGAAGCACCTGGCTCCTGGCTTCGGATCAGCGTGCTGTGCCGGAGCGCCGGCTGCAGCGCACCGGCCGCGGCAGCCATTGGAGAGTGAACCAACAGCAAAGGAAGACCTTTCTCTCTTTCTCTCTCACTGTCCACTCTGCCTGTCAAAAACAAACAAAAGATAGACTCCCATCATTTTTTCTTAAATAATTATGACTTTTTAAAGTATTCCCAGTTTTATGTTAAAAGTACCTGGGTATGTACTTACTCAGTAATTAAAAATTCTAAAGAGCCTCCCACTGAGCTTTTGGGAAGAAATAAGCATTATCTTATTTCTAAAATAATGATGAAAAAGAACCTAATAATCTGTATATAAAACCCTACTAGAAAGCAAATCAAGAGGAGCATTAAATTGTTAAGAGTGAATTTTTATAACAAGCAATGCGAAGATGTTTGCCAACTTCAACACCAGAAAAACATTTAAGGTTTACTGTTCATTTCGTTGGTCCAGTTCCTGACCATTCAAAGAGTTTCCAAAGACATTCACCTCACAAGACAGTTTGTTTTGGGCAAGACAAAGTTATTTGTTTTGTACCAAATTTTCCTCAGTTGCTTTGTTTAGTGATGGGCTTCATTAAGTAGCCCATTATATTGAAATGGAGCATCTTGTATCATTTAGTGTTTATTGAAACACTGTGTTGTATGTGGGCGGTTTATGGTTATGATAGAAGAACCATGTTTCTACTTCCAAATCAAAGGAAAAGATGTAATACTTAAAGTTGTATTTGTAGCTGCAGGGATGGACCATTTACAGTATTTTGGACAATGACAAATTTTGTAAGAAAGTCAATGCTCACACAGGGTGGGTGGCATTGTGGGGGAGAAACTGGCTTCATTGATAAGAGAGAAGAATGTACTATTTGTTTTCTTCACTCAATTTATTTTCTTAAGAATAGAAGAATTAAAGTTTCATCTATTTGTTGGGTTAGCTGGTCCTGAGTGTTCAAGATGTGGTACCAATCTTATTAGAATGTTGGGGTGATTTTGATGGAGCAAACCGCTTTGGTGCACCAGCATGTGGGTTGGGTGAAGAAATCACTGTTTCTCTCTTCTTGATTCTAGGTGGCATAACATTGATTTCTGAAATGGCTTGGTCTTTATTTCTCCTTAGTATGATCAATGGGAATTATCTGAATGGTTACACATGAGCCAGACTGGGTCTTTACAGCTCAGTCTTTACTCTTTCCAATGCTTACACCAAGACCCTGATTCCCAGTCCAGAAATCGTTCTACTGGGCATTTCTATTGGCACATTCTAAAACTGGACCTTGTATCAGAATTCCCTGGAGTGCTTGTATAAACACAGATTGTTGGTGCCTCCCAAAATTTCTCAGGGGTAGAACATTTCTTTCTCCACCCCCCTACCAAGTTCCTTCTGTGTGTTTTGAATATCTTTGGTTCATTCCCTAAATGCCTAAAACAGCCATGATGGGGTCAGGCTGAAGCCAAGAGCTGGGAACTCCACCTGGGTCTCCATGTGGGTGGCAGGGACCCAAGCACTTGAGTCATCAACTGCTGCTTCCCAGAGGGAGCTTTAGCTGGAAGCTGGATGGGAGACAGAGGAGCCAGGACTCAAAGCAGGCACTGTGATACGGGGTGCAGGTGTCCCAAGCTGTGACTTACCAACTTTGCCAACAGTCGGGGCAGCACATTTCTCACAAGCTCCTAGACAATGCTGATGGTGCTAGTCGGGGACTGTGGTGTGAGAACTACAGTTCTAAGGCATGAAATCTGATTTTTATCCTGCTTTATTAGCAATTCAATTTACTTGACAGGTAAGATAAAAACAAAAAGAGAAAGCGCTGGGGAAAATCTCAAGAAGGATGAAGAAATGTTGGTAGAAACACTTTGATACCTTTGGGATTTAGACTTATTGGGTCAAGGCAGTTTTAGTTTATGTGGTAAAATCAAAGATAATGGTCTATAGTAGCTTTCTTATAAGTCACAGAAAAATTACCTACTTAGGAAGCTTGTATTTGTTTATGAAAATGGAGTGGATGTAAGTATCTTTAAACATTCATTCCAAATTCTCATCTTTGAGGAGGCTGTGTTTGAAGTCCAACCTAATTAGTTAGGTGACTCCAAATAAAAGAGAAAGCCCCTAAAAATGATAGGCAAAAGCTGACAATATCTGGAGGCAATCTCTTCTGGAGAGGGTAGTTATTTACATAAAAAGGATATGTTTGAGAGGCTTCTTTTCCACCATGAGTTATACTTCCTAAATATAATTGAAATTTCAAGATATAATTATGTCTTTAGGATTCAATTTACAAATAATTATATCTAGGCTTATGGGATATTTACACATTCCAGGGTCCTAAGAGCCACCAGAATCTGATATGAATTTAGTCAACTTTTTTTTTTTTAAATCTTATTGATGAGACAGAAAGGTTTTGTCTATTGAACCCTGAGAAGTAAGATACTTCCTTTCTTTTGGATACATATGACCAATTTCTTAGAAAATACTACACTTGATCTTAGCCAAAAGGCCGAGAAAATAAAACAAAACAAAAACTGCTTTCTGAGATGTTAGGAATTGAAATCTCTTACTTCTCCACTACCCTCTGAAATTATTTAACCTTGCATCATTTTCAAAGTTTGAGGTGTGAATGTGTATCTGATCATCTGAACAATACTCTGTACCTCCTATCAACTGAGATTATTCTTGACCCTCTCTGCAGTTTTCCACAGTACCTTCTAAAGGCAGTGTCCCAATCAGTAAATCAACCAAAGTGAACTAGTGAACAGACTCAAGGATAAATCAGGCAGGAACACAACTTTAGGGAAAATGGAAAGGCAACTAACTATGATCAAAGATCCTTACTTTGTCTTATGATTATCTACTCTAAGACAACAAATTACTGGACACAGTGTTGTAAGTTTCAGCATTACATTTCTACTTTGCTTCCTATTTTAAGCATTTATTCAATAAATAGATTCTACATAGCTAAAAGGCAAGAAACTAAGTTCAAAAATGCAATAATAGTAATGATTTTGTCCACATGGAAGATAATATTTTATAATTTATAACAAAAAAACTAGAGGGCGATAGCCAGCATATTTTTGGCCTTTTCGGTTTCAGTAACAGAGTAAGCCAGTACTGTCCAAGAACAGTTTGCAGTAGATGTTGGAAAGAATAAACGACTTGGAGTCTACTTAAAGGGTTTAAGGAATTCCCTAAAATGATTCTTGCTACATATTAGAGGAAGCATTTCTTTCCCTGTGAAAATGAACCCAAGATTTTCTAATGTATGTCACTGGGAAAATATGAATTAATTAATGAATTGAAAATAAAACCATAAGGAGAAAAAGTCCACATTTAATTTAATGATACAAATATGTAATATCCTGTGTAAAGTAGTCTCTGTGACAAATTGTAGTGCAATCTGCCTTGTCACATTTTCTCTGCATTGTCCTAAATAGCTGACTTGGATTTCACCAAGAGGTATTGCACAAATATGTCTACTTCTGTGGTTATGGGAAAAAGGCAGTTTGGAGGATGATTTGCCCAGTAAAATTCTGCTCAGTCTATGATTTGTAAAAAATAATTTTTTAGTAACAGTCACTCAGGCATTGTTTTCAATTGAATAGAACAAAACAATGTGTTTAAATTGGTTCATAAAATATACTAAGCATTGGGCTAATTCCAAGACAAACTGTGGTTAAGTATTGCAAGTCAACTCAATTTTTGTATTCTTTCATTCCCTCACTAAGCCTTACTTCTATGCTAGGCTCTGTACAAAGGGCTAGAGACGCAGAGATAAGAAAGACAGTCACTCCTCAAAAGGAGCTTCTCCTTGAGATGGAAAGCAAAAGAGGGCAGCAACAGTGGGGTTAAGTGGCACCACAGGTCTGGGCTGCAGGAATCTCAGGAAGCCTACAGTCTCAGCTTGGAGTTGGAAGGAGGCCATAGGGTTATCAGGACTGCCAGAAAGCCAGGAGAATTGAGGGGACTGGCATTCCAGTAATAGGAAAGGTAGTTGTGAAGGAAACAAAGTCAGGAAAGTACTGCCAGTTTGTGGAATCAAGTGCCGTCTTATTCTTGATCACAGGCAACCAATAATTCTTTTGTGCACAGTCCTAATAAAACTATAACACAGATAACTTAGAGGTTTTTTAGTTGTATTTAAAGATGATTTTTTTAAAAAAATAGTTATCTATTATTTTTATTTGAAAGGCAGAGTTAGAGAGGGGGAAATACCCCCTCACACACACACACACACACACACAGAGACAGAGAGAGATTTTCCATCCACTGGTTCACTCCCCAGATAGCAGCAATAACCAGGGCTGGGTCAACTGAAGCCAGGAGCCAGGAGCCAGGAGCCTCCTCCAAGTCTCCCATGTGGATAGCAGGGGCCCAAGCACTTGGGCCATCCTCTGCTGGTTTTATTAGGTGTATTAGCAGGGATCTGGATTGGAAGTGGAACCACGGGGACATGAACTGGTGCCCATAAGGGATGTTGGTGTGTTGCAGGTGCCAGCTTCACCTGCTATGCCACAACACCGGCCCCTTTAAATATGATTTCTAAAAAGCATTACTTTTGAGATTAATTTTTTTATATTTTGGCCTCCACATCATAACATTGACCATAGATAAAGTGGAGAGAGAAAAGGGTTAGAGTGATGCAAAGAAGCAGAAGTTAAGAAGAACTCAGTGTGGGAAAGTTACACAGAGAGGGGCCATCGTTTTTTATGGGTTTTTCAAGCACATGGCTGTGAATGGAGTTAGATAACAGCCTTTCCAGTGATTCGTTGTGCCTTTTGTGCTTCCCTCCTCCTCCCTCCTATTTCCCCCCTTCCTTCTTCCCTCCCTCCCTCTTTCCCTTTGTTCCTTTCCTTCTTTCCGTTCTCTCCACTCCCATGTGCCCACCCCCTCCAAGAGACTTCCCAGAACTTAATTTCTGTAGAAACCTACTACTTCCATAGATGGTGGTGGGTAAAACTGTTTCTGATCCTCCTCACCTTCTATTTTCTCTCTGACTTTCCCCTCCCTCCCCAGGCTGCAGCAGAGGGGGAGGCAGACTCCCACCACTTGGCAGAAGAAGGAGAAGAGCTGAGAACTAACCACAAGGAAAGTCCAGCTTCCACTTATGAGACATGCATTCCTTTGCCATCTCAGCTCAGGGAGAGAAAAGAAATAAAAGCAGCAAGGGTGAGGGCTATAAAATTCATTTCTGCCCTGTGATATTTGGAGATCCTTTTTCTGCCTTTCTGGGACAGCAAGGACCGAGAGTGTGACTTGGGGCCTTTCCTCAGAGAGCGTGGCTATGTAAGCAACAGTGTTGATAGAAAAGCTAACATTCCAATTCCTTTTATTTTATTTTCTTAGCAACAATAAAAATAAACAGCGAGAGGAATTTGGAGACTTAGAGATTTGTGCTGTACCAACTTTTCAGTGTCTGCCTGATCTTGATATTGCCCCTTGCATTAAGGGACAGTTTTAAGGGTATCACTTGTTATTTTTTTTTTTTCTGGTCATTTGGATCAATTCAAGTGGTTAAAAACAGAGACAAAGAGTTGCCCTTTACCAATTACAATCCCAGTCACTTATAAAAAGAAAATCCAGCAGGAGGAGCTCTAACATGCCTTAGAGCTCCAATTTTAAAAACGAAAAACTTTCAGAGCAAACAGAAAAACAGAGAAGCATTGTGCCTTGCAAGCTGCCATGTCAGTGGACAAATATGTGAGTAAGTCCAATTAAATGCTTAGCGAGAAGCCAAGGGATGGGACTGATGGGGACAGAGCTGCCCATGCTTTCTCTTTTCCACAAGTCTCCTCGTTCTGATGCAGTTAAAGGGGGACAGGCTCTTACAAGAGGAAGAAAGTGCAGACTTCTGGGCAATTTTAGAAGTTACTCTTTTCCTGTGAAAGTGTCATATTGTTTCTAAATAAATCTCTGACAGTGGCTCAAGAACCATCTTAAAATGGGATTTTCATTGTTGGTTGAAAGCACTAGAAATCTCCTAAAGGTTCAGCCTCCCACTTGGGGGTGTGTTGGAGGCACAGTTTTTCTTTTTTTTTTTTTTAAATGAGAGAAATGCTGTGTTTGTAAAAATAGGTGCTAAAAGGGCAAAGAATCATATGTCCCCAGGGTCATGTAAAAAGTCTGCAGAAAGAATTAGAGCTTTCTTTACACACACACACACACACACGCCAACTGAAGTACAAAGAACTTAACTCAGGAAAATGGTGAGGAGCATACAAAATTTAAGAGCTATTGGAGTTTCAGGGTAAGCCTTTCCACTTTGGACAGCGTCGTGGGGTGGACCGGATGAGTGGGCATATACAACGATCAGAATTACTTAACCCGAAGGAAATTTTCAGCCAATCTCTTTTAATCCTTTGCCAATAAGAAGTCAACATTTTTGTTTTACACCTTACTGGTATGCCCACATTTAAAATTTTTATACAAGAATTTTTATATAAGCTCCTACAGAAACTTTAACTGGACCGGTTCAGACCAAAAGTCTCTAAATAAAGCTAGTCTAGACGGAAAATCTATGGAAACCATATGTCCTTCGGGCATCTGTCGTGCAAAAACTGCCACAAGCCTGGAGAAATCGTTCACAAAATCTGCCTTTAGGATAACACTGCTGTAATGACCATGGAGGTTCTGCTTAAGAAAACTTGGGAAAGTGAAGCCGGAATGTTTATAAATGAACGGCTCTCATTTCCACATATACCTCTAAATGTCTGTAAACATCACAGAGAGGACAGGCCTAGTCAGATATCATTTATATTTCCATTACTTTACAAGGGATCCAAAAAGTGTACAGTTTTGTTCCTCCAGACCCCTATGGAACATTAGACCAAGGGATCTCAAAGCGACTGTTCTCACCCACAGAGAACTGTTTTGAATAATGCTGTATGTGGATGAGGCCAAAAGACAGAACATTTTCTTCTGATTATTACCTCATTCTACTGCTCTGCCAAGCACAGCTAGAAGGCAGGTGTCTGACATAAGTGACTAGAGGAAGACTATTCTAGATAACTGGGTGGCTGGCCCAGCCTGCAGACAAAGGAAATGGGGGGAGGGGATAAGATGGGAGCACAATAAAAAGCAACAGTCTAGAATCTTGCTTTTTCAATCCCGCAGTGCTTTATGAACTAGAGACAAAGGTCAGTGCTACCTTCATTATTGTAGCTACACAGTATTACAACTCAGACATTTTAATTTTAATAAGTGGCATTAAATCAATAGGAAAAATAAATGAATGCAAAACTTTTACGACAAAGACATTTTAAGTAAAACTGTAAACAGTCCATGAAGACTATGAAAGTGTTTGTAAATTGCAGATTCTTTGTGACCCTTTAGAATATTTTCCTGACACTTGCTCTACCTTGGAACAAAACAGTAGCAACTGTTATTGGCAAGAGTGCCCCCAAGTGTTGTTCACCTAGAAGACAGCCAACGAACAATACATATAAATGACCACATGTGACAAAAGCTTTCCATATACAGAAATATTTATGTGTACAGAAATCTTCAAGATGTAATGAGTCACACACCAAAGTTTTAAGTAAAAGTGAGAAACCACTACTTCAATGTGCTTACTCAAAGATGTGCTTTAAAATGAAGTTTCAATACACTTATTGATGTTCAAGCATTAAGATGGTAATGGAGGAATTCAGAGTGTTTTAAGTATGAAAGCGAATCAAGTAATTACACCAAAAATCTTCATTACAGATTCCTAAACTGATCTATTGAGTATTTAAGGAAGTTAATCACAGTCTGCCAGAGGAGGCACAAGATTTTTCTGGTCCATTATTTTCAGTCCTAAGTGCCACTATTATTAGAGCTGAAAGTCCAAGTCTGCTTTCATGCAAATAATATTTGCAGCATGGGTTTTATTTTGACTTTACACATAAGTATGTGGAGGGAAATTACTGCAGCGGTTTCTCTAGGCAACAAATTTGCTACTGTTTTTGTAACTTTCCCATTCCAAGAAGTAATAATTAAGATACCACGGAATTTGCCTCAAATGAAATTTTATTATTTTAGTTATTAAAATATTTTCCAACACTACTAAGGAGAAAAAGGAATTCTAGTTGTTTTTAAAAGTCTACAGATATTTTCTCATTTTTTTTATAGCTTTTCCTCAGTGAACGGTGTTTTAATAACCAAGTTGGAAGACTGGCTGTGGGCCTCTGAGCACAAAACTTAGGTGTAGATTTACATGAGAGAACGTTGTTCATTCTTAAGACTAGCTTGGAGAGTAATCCTCATATAGACTTAAAAAATCCATGTGGTACAGAATGTATCTTACGTAAATACCCAATCCCAAACAAAATAACTTCATCATAGCCTCGGCCTGCAAAATGCCTTTAGAAGTCTTTCTCATCTCTTACTCTCAAAGGAGGGCTCATGCTAGATGAGATACACTAATCTTCTGAGACAAAGAAAATAATTTAAGTATACATTTCAAAACCAAATTTAGATTGAATGGTCTCATGAAAAATCTGAAACCAAATACAGGTAATATTTATATGGTGGAGGCAACTAGTGTATTTGATTGTAAAATAAACTCATTTCCCAAGGCATATTCAAAGCTACTGGAGACCTTCTTACATTGTCTTCCTTTTTCTCTAGGTTTTCAAAATTATCATAGAAGTGGGAGATTCTCCTGTGGCAGCGTATCTGGTTGGTGGTGATCCTGGTCATTACCTTATTCTCTCTCTTTATTGAAACGTTAGCCATTCCACCAAAAAAGCAGGAAGGAAGCTTATTTCTAAATTACATATTAACTTGCACATTACTAGGTTCCAACAAGAGCAGTAAGAGAATTTACACCATGTCATGCTTTCTAGTGATTAAATTAATTCCCAATTTGGCCGCAGTGGGTGTGGAGTGGGGAGCAGATTTTATGAGGGTTTGGAACTCTCCGTATCTCTGAGCAATTGAAGTCAGGAGGCCCTGCCTTACCACTGATTATGAGTGATGGAGAATTTTGCTACACGCCATTTTTTGGAAACTTTTTTTTCTTTTAAAATCCTTGAATGGGATATGTTTACAATTTATGTGAACTGATCATCTTGACCAGAAAACAGGAGTGGTGTTTCCTACTGCTCATGGGAGTTGTTAGAAAACAAGAAATCAGAGTACCTGCTATTTGCACTCTTGCTTATGATGTGGCTGTGATGCTTGAAAAGCAGTCAGAAGGGAAAGAAAGTACCATGCCATGATGCAAGGCTGCTTCAGGCCCTTGTGGCTGTAGACTGTGCCCTGTGCAACGATTCTATTTTTGGTCAGAGTTGCCATGCCATCTAAAACTCATCTAAATACTTCAGTAATGTGACATCAATAAACAAGCAGATTCTCCCAAACCCAAAGCATTTTCAACACCACTCTCCCCTCGTCTGCATTGAAAATACTGGCCAGACCGAAAATGTAGCATTCTTTTGGCAACAGCATTTGGTAAACCAGATGGATTTCATTTGGCAAGTAAAGGGTGTAAATATGTGTTTGGATTCAGAGGTTTCCCCAGACAAAGCTTACAATATGCTGGCACAAGTAAACTAGAGGATTTCAGTGGGGGCATTTAAATTTCTGTGTTTAAGTAGCAATAAAGTTATGACAAGCAGGCAAAAGCCATCAAACCCTCAGCGAAATCCTCAATTCCTGTTGTCTCTTGCTGGAGATAGGCATTAAAGGCACATTCTGTATGAAAGAGGCAGCATTTACATTTTCATTAATTTCCTGGCTTTTAGGGGCTAAAGCAAGTCTAGTCAGCGTTACTTAAATTTCGTATCTAATATTTCACAGTAGCTGATAAGTCCGCGGGAAGGAGAAAGCCGTCAAGATCCCATTCATAATTAGAGTTTGCTGCTTGGCTCCAACTTAGAATTGAAAGAATAACAAGTCACGTTGGGCCTTGGATCTCTCTGAAACACATACCATCTAACCAGCACTGTCTGAACGTAAAGGGTTCCCTGTAAAAATCACTCTTTTCTGACTGAGGGGAATTCGGGGCACTGGGATGAAATAGGAACCCCTGCTTGTGTGTGTCTGATCACACTGGGGAAAACAGTTTTCTCCCTTCTTTGAGCTGACATCAGGTTGTATGTAGGAACATTCAGCAGATTCCAACTGGTGACAATTTGCTGCTGACTGGCCACAGGAAGAATAATAATCATTGATGGTGTGTTTTTCACCGGCCAGTGGCTCCTCTGCCAGAATCCTGTCTTGGCTGTCTTCCTCTATCCATCAGGTGAAACTCAGGGCAGGCAGGATACCCTAAAACTCAGAAGGGCTTCCTTACAATGGTTGCAACTTAGCAGCTTGGGGCCCCAAAGGGCTCAATGAGAGAGCATTTGTTATTATTTGTCACAGGACATGGAAGCAGTTGTATTTGGTTAACTGAATGCCAGTTACGACTGGGCGGGCAGTGGCATGCTGTTATATTTACTGCCGCTGTCTGCATTTGTGTTACTTGCGCTTTGCCTCATGGAGATCATTTCTTAGTTCGCTTTTTGTCTTACCTGCCTGCAACATGGGATGTTTGGGAAAGTAAGATAAGGTTCTCATTGAAAACAAAAAGGCCATCTGCAGTCTGCCTTCCCACGTCGGCAAAGCTCCCACACTCTGACCTTCAAAAACAAATGTGTCCTGAAGCCTCACTGACAGGGACAGCCAGTCACCTGGACTGGGGCAGGATATGGGCAGGTTTGTGTAAAGTGGACCCAGAAGGAAACCACCAAACTAATTATACTTTCACTTAAGCCAGATTGAAAACAAGTCCTGAAGCATGCAAAAGCTGACATCCACCTTTGATTCACCATATTTCACCAGTGAAATATTCTGTTACAACCAGAATCATTGTGGAATTGGAATGAGGCTTTTCATGGGATAGTTAATGGAGGGTTTAAATTAAAACGGACATTTTCCTTAGTGAGTAGCACGTGGCCAAAATCCCTGTTTTCCCCGAAGTGTCCTAAGCATCATGAAGACTCATGTTAACATGGAAACAAATTATTAATTACAGTTTGGGGCTTCAGTAATAAATTTTGGGACATGGTTGCCTCATGAGATGCCTTGAATACTAACAATCAAAAAAGAGCTCAAAGTTACTTCTATTCTTAGCACTTATACTTATGAAAAAAAATCTTTGCTTGACTTTTAAATCCAGTTGCCAAAAATAAAAAAAAAAAAACTACTCCCTAAATTATCAGAATATCTAATTACAAATGTATTTATTTATTTTTCTCCTTTAACGGGGAATGGATGGTGAGGAAAATAGAAAGCTCATGGCTGACATCAGAAATCACAAGATGAGCTCATCATTTGTCAAAATGATGCTCAGCTACTAAATGAATTCATACTTTTACAGGGCTGTAGAGGAGAGAGGAAGGCAGGGCGTTTCCAGTGCATGACTGCAGGGAGTCACACAAGTTCCTTAATTGTCCGTGTACCCTTAACCCACGACTTCAAGGCTCAGCAGCTTCATCCTTCATGGCACCAAACCTTGATGTGAGGGATGCAAAGACACACTCATAAGAATCATTGGGTTTGATCTTACTCAGAATTTGGGGGACTAGATGAAAACAAAAATGAAAAAAAAAAAAAAAACCAAACCAAAACCCAGGGAGACCTATTCCTCAATGTGAAGCTTTTACAATAAAATTTAATTATTAAGAAAACCAAATGACTTTTATCTTTGTAAAGAAAAGAAAATGAGTTCATTGTCTCATTACATAGAGGGCTTTATAAATCTCTCGGCATGTTTGATTTAGTACTACATTATTGAAAATGTGGGATCATGACTTGACTCCATGTGTGCCATGTGGAGTCCAGGAAGCCATTTAAGTCATGGAATGGGCCTATGCTGGCACTGCCCATGCGGTCTGGGACAGCAGCTTTGTCCTGGGACCCAACAAAGACTCTTTCAATAGAGTGTTTCTTGGGTTCCATGTTTCCATCATGTAGATGAGCTGGAGTAAAAGCCAAATCTTTTCAAGTGATTCCATTTTTGCATTTATACAAGACACCATTGGACTTGGTGCTTGGTGCACAGGGTGATTAGGAGAAAACACTTCTACTTTTTAACTTTTTTTTAATGGAAGATTGAGTGATAAGATAAATAAAGTTATTCTTTCTTGGATTAGAGACCCCTCCTCCCATCCTGATATCCCCTTTGCACCATTGCAAAATAGCTTTGTCCAAGGACAGGGGAGAAGACAAATGAGTGAAATATTGCCAGAGTTTGCTACTGCCATGAAAAACACACTTGGATACAGCTAATTTGTTCTGTTAATGGCAAAGGCTGTAATTTCCAATTAACCAATTTTAAGAAGCTGTACCTGAAAACAGTTATATCAGCTCTAAATTTAAAGAAAATTAAGTTCTTCAATTAAGAGAACAGAGACCCTAAAGAGGTGGTGATGTCTGTTTAGGATCATCATGCTAAACAAATCCATGGCTGCCTTGGATTTTTCAACAATTGAGCCCCTTCAGAGAAGTGGAGAGCAGGTGAGAGGGGAGGGGACAACACAGATATTCTGGCAACAGGAAATGTCCCACAAATCACAGGTATGTGTGCACTGAACTATCTCATGACAGAAGCATCCGTAATAGTGAGTCTCCTTGGGATACAGATGCTCCCCTCGGTCGGATGGAATGAATTAAAACAGGCATGTAGTTTGCAGTACTTCCAGCTCCCTCACTGAAAGGCTTTGTGCATATAAACCAGAACAGCTTCAGCAGCTGAAGAAAGCTGTGCCAAAAGTGACTCCACCACCTCTCTCCTTCTTCTCCCTTAACATTGGAATGGAAAGACAGAATACTAATGGTATTCTTAAAGGCAAAACACTCATGTATTTTGTGCAATTGCCAGTGCTTTGATTGCCTTCGAATGGAGTTAAAAGTATAGAAGAGGATAATTCAAAAAGTTCATGGGGAAAATGAAGTTAAAAGACAAGTCCATTTGGTGCAAAAACTGTTTTGAAATCCATGCACAGGAGTGGTCCTCAAAAAGTTCATGGAAAATGCATATGATGTGAAAACTGTGCATGTATTTCAAAACCTTTTTTGGCACCACAATAGAATTGTCTTTTAATTCCATTTTCCATGAACGCTTTAAGGTACCCTCATATGCTTTTAAAAGTCATCGTCATAACTTGCTAGTAAAGTCACAAATCATCCAGAAGAAAGCTATGCACAGGCACATGCTGATTGGCAGGTTTCTTGCCTCTAAAAATTCAGTTATCGCCTCTATAACAGTGAAGCCCAACAGGGAGCTGGCGAGACACCTTCTGTGCTGTCCTGTCCTGTTATGGGTTTCTGGTTTCAGATAAAAGAGGAGAAAGAGCCCTTATGAAAGCAAAGAACTTGAAAAATAAATCCAACTTCCTTCTCAGAAAGCTAAGGGTTGTTTTCCTGGAGATGATGGATAATGGCATTTCAAGTTTTAATTTCCACAGAGAAAATGGAGGCAAATCACAGAGGATAAGAGGATATATATAATTAAATAGAATAAGGTGAAGTCAACAAGCGCTTCCTTCAAACTCTTTCTCTTTCCTTCTTTCTTCTTTTCTTCCTCCTTTCTTTCTCTGAAATCTTAAACCCCATTTCTGGCTTGCATTTGCTAGGATTCCTGCTCTGGCTTTTATTAAAAACAGACTTTATGTGGTCAGAACTCTCCATCTAAAGCTAAACTTTAATAGGGATAGGGATCCTGACTGAGTCTTTCTTGGTCTCTCTCAGGTGACCATTCCCTCCCCCACAAGGGGGATTTCCCTCCCAGGGTGCTGAACTGGCACTGAAACTTGAAAGCTCAGCACAAAACAACCAACTTGCCTCTTCTTTTCTGTACTTTCATTTCTGTTTTAAATTTGGGACTCTTTGCAAGGCCAGATCAGGTTAAGTTTGATTCTCACTTGAGAGGACTCTAGAAATTTCAAATAACCCCACTGCTGTTTTGTGAACTCCCCAACACAGTCATTAAATCTGGCGGCTCCCCTCTCCAGCTCTGCTGCTGGGGCCCCACCATCCAGCTGAGGCTAAGATCCCCTCCCCGGCTGCCTCCTTCATGGGAGCTCCAAAATACTGAGGGTTACTCCGACCCACTTAAGAAATGGGTTTATCATTCGAAAGTTGGTTTTCTGAAGGCTACTGGCAAGCCAGTTTATCTGAAACCCAAAGCAGTGAAGCAAGCAAGCAAGACATGCACCTTCGTTCCCCACAAGGACCGCGGGGGTGCTCTGGTTCTTTCTCACAGCCAAACAGACAAAACAGCTGACCTCAAGGATCCCTCCTGCTTTTAACTCTCCCACTCCCAATGGCCTCCATACCTTCCGAGCACAGTGGAAAACATTTTCCCAGCCAATCTGAGGTTTTCCAAAACAATAAATTTGATTTTGTTTGTAGCAAGGCTCAGTGTTGGCATTCATTTTATTTTATTTTTTAACAAAGAAGGGAAACTTGTTCGCATACTAAAGCAAAAGTGGCTCTCAGTGGAGAAGGATTTTTACTCCCCTAAGGGACACTGGCACTGCCTAGAGACATTTTTAGTGGTTGCAGCTTGGGGAGTGCAACTGACATCTAGTGCATGGAAGCTAACAATGCTGTTAAACTTCTCACAATACACAGGACATCTCTGCACAGTGAAAATGTCAGCAGTGAGAAGTTGGGAAACTCTGCTGTCATGGTCGGGGGCTCTGCAGTCGACTGGGATTAAAGCCCAGCTCCACTTGAGGCCTGGGTGAGCAGCCTTGGACAAGTGGCTTAACCTTCTTAATGCCCTATCTTTAAAATATACATAACACCCTATCTCAAATAGATTGTTGTGAGCATTAAACAAAAATGTACACGCAATGCTCTTATGACAACCCCTAGCATGTATGAATAATGTTAACTATTGCTGGTCCTAGAAATTCAGCTCAGTTCCAAAGAAATTATAAGACAACCGTATTGAATTCAGAGAAAAAATAACAGGGGTGAGAGGACGTAAATCCTCTTTGATTGGGACCAAAATGATAACAGCAGTAATGAGCACAATCTTTATAGTTTATCAAACTCTTCAACTGTCCCATCTCACATGACCGGGGCAACACCTGTGTTGAATTTTCCCTAGTTCGTAAGAGTGAGGAACTCATAGAGTGGCCCATGGTCTGTGGCAATCCAGGTCTTCTCACTCAAAATTCCCCAGCACTCTACTGCACCCCCCTTGTCTACCAGGTTAAGATCCCTCTTCTTTTCAGTACTCTCAATGGCCTGAAGACCAAAATGTAAGCAGGTGAGGTGACTCAACTTTCATGTCTGGGTAGAAGTCGTTTGTGTTTTTATGGTCTCCTGAGTACAGTTAGGTTTTCCTTCATGGAACATATGAATATTTTGTCTCTCTGAATTGAACTTAAAAAATTAACCTTAAGTGCAAGCCAATTTTCTTTCCTGTAAAATTTCTGATTATGGAGGGGAAAACCCTTCATACTTCACATCTCAAAAATCTCTGATTACACTTTATATATTTGTATGGTAGATGTATGAAGGTAAGCCCATAGCTCCAACTATAAGTGTTTCAGGTCAATTATTTATTAGCTACACTGTTTGACCTGTTTATAACTGTCTCAATGTATTTTTAAAGGTACAATGGGGTATCTCATAAAATGGCTAGTGACCATGCACAGCAACCATTATGTTAAAATTCCTATACATAGCCTTCAAAAAAAACAGTGGCAGGTTAATGGGCCTCACTTTCCTTGGCCAATGCTGGTCTATTTCGTCTGTCATACCTCTGAGAAGATCACCGAGAGCACCCCCTCCCCCAGTGCCTGCAGCTCACCTTACCTGGGAACGCTGGGTGGGGCCCGCGTGGGCCGCGACGGAACTTGCGGAGGGGCTCCCAGGGAGTCGCTGCTGTTGGGGAAAGGGGGCAGCGGCCCTGGACGGAACGGGACTGGGGGAGCCCCTGAGTGAGGGCCCGGGGAAGGAATGGCGGGAGCTGGGCCTCGGCCGGACGTGGGCCTCGGCAGGGGCGCGCTCAGCGTCGGCCGCCTCTGGGCTGTGGGACTTGGAGGAGGAGACCTGAGGAAAAAGACAAGGCATGGTTTACCCGCTCCGCCCCTCAGCCTGGGCTCATCTTTTAAAACGTTTTATACCCTGGGGATTGCTTTTCCAAGTGACGGCTGACTCACTCAGACCTAGGCTACACCCGTGAAGAGTTATGAAAGGGTAAATGGTGAGGAGTACGCGCACCTCCTCCCCTCCCCTTGCATGCTGAGGAGACAACGCGGGAAGCCCGGCTTCCGGAGCGTTCCCCGCACGTTCAGCTTCCGCCCAAGCTCACATCCTCTCCCCACACCTCACTATGTACAGTACAGAACGCAACCGGCTGTTTTTCAGGCTTCCCGCGAACTTGGTTATCGCTTCATTTCAGGACTTAGAGAACTTCCTTACCCTTTTTGACGACCGTTTAGCATTCCCCTGCGAGGGTGCATGCTTCTTGTTTTAGGAGGGGTTGGATGTAATTGGACTCCCTCATTCCTGAACTTGACTCGCTTTTCCCCCTGTTTTTCTTAAGCTTCATATTGGCTTATGAAAGCACTCTCAGGAAATTATATTGGCCACGTGTAGCAAGCCCCAGGTGTCTGGGCCCATCTTCCTACCTGCGAGAGTGCTGTATCCAAGAGTCGTCCACGGGAGGCGGGGCGGGGGTGGACACCGTGGCCGTGTTGATGTCACCGATGATCACCAGGGCTTCTTTGAGGGCCTGGTACATTCGGAGCATCTCATCTCGGCGCTGAGCCTGCTCTGCGGATTCCTCCATCAGAGTATTTTGGTCCTCGGAAGAGTATAACTGTGCTAGGAGCTCGGAATTGATGAAATCTTTAACCTGTCAGGTCACCACCGACAAACAGAAATGGGATTGAATGAGTGACTGAATGACAAAAACACGGCTGTGGCACTCAGCCTGTGGACAAGGTCCACCAGTGTCCATCATGGGGAAAGGGAGGCGCCACATGCTTCTTTACTCTTACATTATATCTATACTCTTACTTATATTTATTCACCATCATCCTTATCCCTAGTACCGGGATATGCTATACTGTCCAATGCTAGTCCCAGTCCCAGTCCCAGTTTCTCTCTGTCTTCTGCCTGTCAACACGGAGGGATGACAAAGAGAAACTGAAGAGAGGCCAAAACCTTCTGTCACCAGGGTCTTCTGGCTGTGCATGCTTCCGCTGTGACTGAGGCCACTTGGCTTATACAAGAAGGAAGATACCATGAAGTAAGCAGCAGCATTTTCAACAGAAAATGGAGATGAAAAAATACCCCTGTGACATAACAAAAGTTTTCTATTCCTTGGCATCCCCAGGTCTTTAACTAATTTTTACCAAAATTAATGGAAAATTATTGATTCCAAGTTCTAATGTTGTCTCAAAAGTGGAATTAGCACCAGTAAGTTAATATTTATTACCTTATAAACCAGGTAAGTTGATTTATAGCAAAGGTGTAAGATATACACTCACTGTTGTCTAGATGTTTATGATAGAAGCTAGTTAGCAGCGATGAACACTGACATGAGGGTCCACAGATACAACACATATGTAAAAACAAACTAAATTGTGAATAATATGTATGAGTCTCTAAGAAAGGTCAAAAGCGAGTATATTTAATTGTTATAAATTCAGACAGAAAGCAGAATAGCTGTCATATGCTCAAAACTTCTGGGTTGGTGTTAAATTTTGTGAGACATGACAATAGTTTCAATAATACATGGCTTCATTATTTTTAAAGGTATCAAAACATGTAAAAAAAATCCTGCCAAATCACAGCTTCATTGTGGTGAAATAAGAAGTATTCCATGCACATACTTTGTAAACCAAGAGTAATTCAAATGTGGAAGTAATTTCACAAACAGGATGTCGTCAGGGAACTGTCTGGTGGGGTAGAAGGTTTACGCTAAGTGTGATAGTTGTGGAAGGTCAATTTGGACAGCAAACATGGGGCAGATGTGAAGGCCTTGAATGCCAAGGAAAAGTGTTTGAACTTTATTCAGTTGGCAATGGGAAGCCATGGAAGGCTTTTAAGAGAGTAAATGAATTGATAAAAGAGAGTTTTTAGGAAAATTAATCTGGTGGTGATTGGAAAAGAATTTGCAAGGGTGGTAGTAGAGATAAATCTGTTAGAAGGCTATTACGGATCACTCATGAGATGATAAGGATTTAATTTAGCAATACTGCAGTGGAATAGAAAACATGGGTACATAAAAATGATATTACAAAGGAAAACTTAACTGGACTTGGTGCTGCTTGCATGTGAAGGGCAAGAAAGAAAGAACCAATCCATGACACCTCAAGCACTGACATGTGGGTGAGTAGGGAACAGAAAAATAAATGTCAAGATAAAAGTCAGATTTAGAGTAAAGGCAGCATATTTGGCTGCCTGTCCTTGAAGATTTATTCATTTCTAAACACACTTGCAGGTACCCAGGAGGCATGGCCATTCTTCCATTCTGGGGTGTGTGTGTATGGACTTGGATCAAGTGTGCAGTTCAAAACTCCCAAACCAGACAATTTTCCTGGCATTGATTATCAGTTGACTTAAGCTCTTTTGAAGCTTTACATCTTAGTGGAGTATCACTTAGAATCTATTAAACACAATTTAAAAGAAGATCCTTCCAAGAATAGATTTAAAGCAGATCTGAATTAAGAATCAACTGTCAAACAAACCACGAAATAAAAAAAGGGCCTATTTCAGAATTCTGATCAAAGATCTGCCTTGATTCTTCCACATCAAAATGTTACACACTGCAACTTGCCAAAAGCTTTAGAAATGTTCTGAAATAACATGAGCATTAACAGCATGAGAGGAAATGGTAACACACAGTGCAGTGGGTTAAGAATATAGCTTTGGAGTCAGCACCCTAGCACTTACTGTTCTTGGGCAAACAACCTCAGGTTCTTCATCTGTTAGGAGGGGTAAAGATAGTGGCTACCTCAAGAGATGTGAAGATTAAGTAAGTGGAAGAATGAATATCAGTTGTCTAAAGCAGGATATCTAGCTGGCTAGTACTTAATAAACAAAGTGATCATTTTTCATGTACAGAGGTTAATTGGAATTAGGTACACAGAGACAGGACAGCAATAGAATGCAATAGTGCAGGAACCAAGTGGCATAGTTAAATACAGAGCGTGGGTTAACATTTTACATTTCATTTCAGCAAATATGAGAAAGACTCCACTCTTTTCCTCTTGCCAGCCTAGCTTTGTAGTGCTGCAACTGGAGTTTGGAACAATGACTTGGGGGAGTTTCCAGTCACTTCAGGGACTTTCTGAGCAGTTTGTGTGTCAGTGGTGCAAGGAGTTAAATCAAGGATCCTGCGTGACATTTAGAAGCCAACTGGATCCTTTTCAGAAGAGAGCATTTAGAAAGTGACTCTCAGAACATAACAAACCAGTTATACTTGGATGTGAGACTTTCACTAATATTTATGGTTTTAATTATAACACCTTATAACCTATACATCTTTGTATGGTTTGAAAAAAATTCTCACACGCAAAACCTCGTTCCAGCTCAGACTCTGCAGGCTAGATAAACAGGCGGTGCTGCACCATGTCCCTCTGCTCAGTGTAAAAGAATGTGAGGTCATTAAAAACGTTCCACATGTTTTCCTCTTTCTGACTTTAACCCTTCTCTAGCAACCTGTGATATGTTTGGATCTGAAACCCTCTTTGTTATGACTAAGGTCATTTTGAAGCCTTGACACGACAGCAGAGAATTCTAGGGCTTTTCACGGTGTAGTTATCATGGAAACCATTTCCTTAAAATCTCTTTGTTTTTAGATGGGACACTCACAGTACAGAACGTAGCGCTCTCTCACATTCGCATAACACACATATAAAAATTTAATAGACAAATTTAATTTTGCTTGTTTGTTCTTGGCGGGGGAGCGGGGGGAGGTCTTGGTTGAAATTTTGTGCTTTGTTGAGATCTCACAATTCTTTCACATCTATTTAAGCGTCCTTTCCTTTTCCAAGGGATTCAGTCCTGCTAAAGAACAAGGAAGTTTTCCTTCTTGAAAAGGCAACATCCTTTGATCCACAAACATAACAGTGGAGAAAAGAAGCTAGACACAAAGGGGCATATACTATATGGTTCCAGATTTGAAACAAGTAAAATTAATCCAAGGTACATGAAATCCCTTGTTGGGAGTGATGGAGAAGCTTTGGGAAGGGGACCATAGAGAAGAGGGGGTCTTTGGGATTCCTGGTCATAATCTTCTTCCGGAACAGCATGCTCTAAATACCAGAATAAAGCTCTGGTATTTAAGGTGTACTTTTCCCTCAAATAATGAACATTTAAAACATTTTACTTCATACTAACATAAAAGTTACAGTGAATGTTGCAACTTAGGCACATGTTCTTAATTTTCCACCAAAGTGCCAATGGCCCAGGGGAGTCAATGTGTACCTCCAGGGTCCCAGGGGCACAGGCTGCAGCACACAATCCAAGTGTGAAATGCTTCCAGGTTTCATACTTGGGTTTTGAAAAAAATTATAACATCTTTTACATTCTATTTCATTTTCTCTGGGTTTGTTTGAACATAAGAAACAATGCTTTAAATGAAGATTGAAAACATTGTTTCTCATATTCAAACCAATCCTAATTAAATCTGTAAGTAAAAGCAGCCTCGAGGGAGGATAATCCATGGATATCCTTTGGGAGAGGGAGCCTTCCAGTTGGAGGGGCTAACAAGAGTATACCTGCCCCTGTTGTATGCATTATCTGATGTGGAAGTGGCCTCAACATCAGGCCTGGAGTGAGAAGACCTGGATTTCCATCTTGACTGCCACCCCAAGCTGAGTAATCCGGGGCAAGTCCCTGAACCTCCTGGCTTGATGCTTCAACTGCTTCATTTGTAAGCTGGAGACAAGAATGATGAGTTCAGTCAGAATTATGGGTCACTGTGGCACCCACATTTTTAGCACAAAGCCAGGCCCACTTTCTTGAGTCTCTGAAGGAGAACTATTGGGGTAAGCTATAGAGAAGAGGCCATCAAAGTGGGACTGCCATGGGGTGTATTGATACTGAGCTTTAAAGTCCTGAACAAAACTCTCCTGCCTTGCCTGTAGCCTGTCCAGAACGACCGCCTGTCATAAACGGGCTGTTTCTTTGTGCTGCTGTTACCTGGTATGTTTAAGTAATGAAACAGCTGCTGCATTTCAATAGACAAAGGCTTACAGTATGTCTGAGGCAAGGCATTTATTGCTGGGCTTTAAACTTCTTAAACAATTCCATATGGAGACTTGAGTGGCAGAACACTTAATGTAAACTTTCAAAGGAAACTGCCCACCGAATTCTGAACTTTATGAAAGTTGGCTGAAACATATTCTTTTCCAGAAGGCTGAGCAGCTATTCCCATTTCAAAGAGGAAAGGCCACAGCACTGCTTTCGATAGAGCGGGAAAAAATAGAGGACCCCATTTTAGGTATTTTATGGGTCTGGAGAAACATGTAGCTTTTCTACCCAAAGCCATTTATAGAAGCAGCAGGGTTAAGTGGTTGGAATTCAGGATTAGGAGTCAAGCTATTAGTTTTCTAGTTGTGATTCTGTTACTAATTCCCTCACTTGAAGATATCTTCAATTTAAATCAGATAAAAAAATTCACCACATGTGCGTGGCACAGTGCTTGGTGGTTATTGTGTTTCCATTTCTTTGTGCTTAACAGGGCACTCCCAGAACGAACCTAAAGTGCTTGGGCATTCTGTGCAGTAAGATGCCATGAGAACATGAGTATATTTAAAAAGCATGTTATACATCTACATATATAGATTTATACATATCCCTAAAATATATGCAATGCAATATATATCCATATAGATCTATATATCATGTAGTAAATATAAGTAAGCTAAGTAAATAAGCTTAAGTCAATATAAATATAAGTAAACAAATATTGATATATCCATGTAGTAAAGAAAAACAGATACAACAATAATGAAAGCAATCATCCTAGTTTCTGGTAGATAAGAAAACTTAAATTTCAAAAAACCGAGAACCACAGATTCAATACCACAGCATTCATGAGACTTCTGCTTTCTCCCCACTCCTATTAGTCTGAGCTTCGAGGTTTGACCTTGGAGATCAGGTCCTAATGGAACTCTCCTTCCTCGTGACTCTTATGTGCGGTCTCTCTCGAGACAACAGAGCTTTACCTCCAAGGAGCACATCCTGCAGCTGGAGGGTTAGCCATTTCATGAAAGCAAGCAAACAGGCCAGCAAGGAGTGAGGGAAGTTACCCCTACTTTTGTGTGTGTGTGTGTGTGTGTGTGTGTTTCTCAAGAAGGTGAAAGTAGGATAGATAGCAATAGGGTCTTTTTTTTTTTTTTTCCTTTTAACGAATTTGTGTCATGCTACTCCTCACAGCTATAGACAGGAAGTGCTATTTCCTGTGCTGATGATTTAATGTAGTGCAGAGCAAAGCTGCGTTTGAACTGATGGCAGCACTAATGACTCTCAGTAAAACAGTGAAAAGATAAATGATCCTTAATCAGGAAAATGTTTAAATAAGCAAGTGCCTGGATATACCACAGCAAAACAACCTGAATTCATTTAAGCAAAGTTAAGAGGGTAATTTTAAAAATACACAGGCTATTTGTTTAGTACTTTATATTTTTTCTAAATGGCTTGCAGCCACATTTATTATATTCTCTGACAGTTCTGTGAGGTACCGTAGTGTTCTCATTGTAGTGACAGAAGTGACTGACCTCAATGCAGAGGCTCGATGACACTCCAGTTCACATAGCCGCTCATTGATTAAGCTTAAGAATACAGTTCTTCATTGCCACATTTTCAATTTATTAGTTATGTACTGCTCAGGCTTTAAAGCTTCCTAACCTTGCTTAAATGTGTATGACGGTAGAATTAATTACAAACCAAATGTTCATATGAGTGCTTGGGTTTCTTACAATGCAGAGAACCTGGGCATATTTAGAAATAAAAACTTTAAATGAATCGTGGGATATAGAAAAAGGCTACTTAATGCTCCTCAAAGGCAGCCATATTAATATTTTGCAATTATATTTTTCACATACACTATCTTCTGGAATGAACTCCTAAGTCAAGTACACTTAATATGATTAGTAGCGTTTTACCTACGGAGGAAATAGATATAAGTTATGTGACTTGCCGTAAGTCGACAGTTTGTAACTCAATCAGGGTTAAAACTTGAGTTTCTCTGGAATTCTGGCTCAGGGCTTTGCCATCTAATCTTGATTTCTTACAAGCAATGCTTATAGCATGCAGGTACTTTAAAAAGCTTATGGAAAATAGATTAAAAGATGATTATTTTGGCACAGAGAAATTTTAAAATCTTTTCATAATATCTATTTTCAATGGAGTTTTTGAAGACACTTCACATGTATGTTTCTCTCTGTGTGTGTGTGTAAAAGCATATGCTCAAGGTCTAAGAGCCAGGTTCATCTGTATTATTGCTGGCTTTGCAATTAATTTATACTGTAACCTGTTGTGCTGTTTTTGCTCTGTTTTCTTGAGACCAAATTCACACCCCTCTAGAACAGATCCAATGTGAAACTCTTCAGTAACAAAGTTAGAAGTTTAAAGTATTCCTTTCTAAGTTTTCTTTCACTGTTCAGTCATGTACCACTTGTAATAAAAAATTATGAACCAGAAAATATCACAAAGAGAATGTGTAGAAATTTCCACATTAGGATGGATTAGAAGTTAAAGGCAACAGTTTATAATCACTTACATTATTGATCATAAGGTGCATTATCGTTTTTGGAATTAGATCTCGGATACATTTGTTGATAATAGACATGTAGGAGTCTACAAGGTTGCGAATGGTCTCCACTTGCCTCTCCAATTGTGGGTCCATAGAAAAATTTTCTGCTTGGCCATTCTCATCATTTTCAGTCTAAAAAAAAGAAAGGAAACAAAATATGGGTTATATCATATTGGCCTGGAAGAAAAAAAAATAGCAGACATTATCAGCTGATCAACTTCTGCTTAGCCTATTTGAGGCTTATACTAATACATCTTTACTGTATCACCCATCCGTTAATTCTGAAAAAAAAAAAAAAAAGATCTAAACCCTGCAGTTATTATTATCCTTTTAGCCTGCCACGTTCTAGGAAGAGTAAGTCTTCCAATTCTGAATGAATGTTGCAATGAATAACCAGATAAACATGCACCTAACAACGTGCCTCTGGAGAACATTCTAATCTTCAGCCAAAGAACTGAATCCAAACACATGATGCAGATGTAAGCCTTTGGGAGGAGCCTTCAGGGATTCTACAGATTAGAAATAACCTTTGTGTATTCTTACACTTCTAGGTCTGCTCTGGACTGGATCAACATTTGGATCAGCCCAGATTCAAAACTAAATCTCCTAGGGTTGGCCTGAAGCCACAGTAAGAGGTATAGAAGATAATTCATTCTTCCATGCACTTGCTGGAATTTGTTATATAAATTCATGACTCTGTCATCACGGGGAAAGGCTGGCTCCATTGTGAAAAACTTACAATTTTAACTTTCAACTTGCTATTCTTTGAATAAAACAGAGCACATCTATAACAAAGAAATTATCTGTGCACCAAGAGAGAAGCATCTGTTTTCTATACTATGGGGCTTGAGTTAATTAATTTTGGCTTATCCACTAGAGGCTGGGCTGGAATGGCATCTTCATCATTAAGGGCTGACCTATTGGCTTGGCATTGAAATCAATTTAGAACAAATGGTCTCTATTTTAAGTCAGGTTGAACCAGCTAAGCCCCAGAACATGATACAAATATTGTTAGTGGTCTGGCTACTTTCTAGCATTTGGGAAGATTTAATTACAAATGTAAAATGGGGAAATAATTTATTGCTTCCAATGTGGACCTAAAGTACTATTCTTTGGAATTGTGCATACTTTGATCTGCCAGGTTTTCAAGCATCCAATCAATTTTAGGCAAAGCACTTTGCTAAATAGCTTAACTGGCTCTGTAAATGACTGGCATTTCCTTTGAATCAACATGCATACATGAAAGGCATATCTACAGGCTGCAAAACGAACAATAAGACAGAAATTCGTTCTAATTATTTACATAGGCTTCTTTCTCTTAGAAATATCTAATATTTTAAAACTATATTAAAGTAATATATGCTCACATTGAAAACCAGGAGTCATTTTCCAGGCCTGAGGGCATTGCCCCCTGCTTCAGGGGAACAGAATAAGGGCATTTACAAGGGCTCCTAGTGCAACAGCCAGGTAGAAGACTGGAAGATTCAAAAATGACAATTGTTCCCTTAACACATTTCTTTTGAAATGGTCTTTGGTTGCTGATAGAAGAAAATCATATGGAGCTCTTAATTTTTATTATTTAGTTTATGAAAGAAGCACAACACAACCTGCGGTAAACAGCTAAAAAGCTAAGACTAAAAAGTGGTGAAAGGACAGAGGAAAGCACCGTCAGGGAAGTGAGAATCTACCATGTTCCTAAGCTTTTTTTTCTGGGGCATGAAAACCACCTTTAATCTGCAATCACATTCCACACAGCACCCAAATTCTCAGTAAGTGGTATCAAGGGTATTGTATTTGGATGTGAAAATCTCAGGTTCAAACCCAGGCTCTATCATACTGGTTGTGTGGCCATGCTTTGGTTGCCTACTGAGACTTTTTTTAAAAGATTTATTTATTTATTTGAAAGAGTTACACAGAGAGAGAGAAGGAGAGGCAGAGAGAGAGAGAGAGAGAGAGAGAGAGAGGTCTTCCATCTGCTGGTTTACTCCCCATTTGGCTGCAATGGCTGGAGCTATGCCGATCCAAAGCCAGGAGCCAGGAGCTTCTTCCAGGTCTCCCACATGGGTGCAGGGGCCCAAGGACTTGGGCCATCGTTCACTGCCTTCCCATGTCATAGCAGAGAGCTGGATAGGAAGTGGAGCAGCTGGGACTTGAACTGGCTTCCACATGGGAGGTTGGCACTGCAGGTGGCAGTTTTACCTGCAACACCACAGCACCAGCCCCAAGACTCTTAATATTTAAAACAGGGAATATACTTCTCTGCTTCTCTGGCAAACTTGTGGCAGTTAAATGACATAATTTTCATGAAATGACTTGGCGGAAGGCCTCCTGGGTGCTCAACAAATATTCATTTCTTTCCTTCCTTCCGTTTATTGTGGAATAAAAGCTGCTTGACTCTCAATACACATTATGAACATTTAAGGTGAAAAACTAGAATCTCAAACATCTTTAATTCAAGTCATAAAGCTATGTGAAACTGCAAATGTATGTATATAAATATGTATGTAGGTATTGCACACTTCCATGTTTTCTACCAGCTATTCTACTTGGCCCATCTGTAAAGACTTCCCATCCTTCAAAGCCCTGCTGCACCATCACCTGTCCCAGAAAAGCTCCTGGGCTCTCAGACCCTCTACTACTCCCGTACACTTTATCTGTACCTTGCATTCACCTCTGTTATTTAATATAAAGCTTAGTTTTATGCTTCTCCCCCTCCTGGACTCTGGGATCTAGTGTTTTTCTCTTTTCTCAGCACCTAGCACAAAATGTAGTATATAGCAGGCAGTGGGTGGAGGAGCTAATACTCCAGATGCATTTACCAATGTCAACGAAGCTACCCTAGTAAATTTTGGGATCTCCAGAAATGTCTACTTGTTAGAGGAACTGGAAAACAAGGAACTCCAAGGTGATGGATTAGGGACTGCTCCTACTTGATAACAATGGCATTGATAAAATGACCATGAAATTATGTACATAATGGCCGGTGTTGTGGGGTACCAGGTAAAGCCTCCGACTGTAATGCTGGCATCCCATATGGGTGCTGGTTTGTGTCATGGCTCTTCCACTTCCAATCCAGCTCTCTGCTAACACACCTGGGAGAAGCAGTGGAGGATGGCCCAAGTATTTGGGCCCCTGCACCTATGTGAGAGACCTGGCTCCTGGCTTTGGCCTGGCCTAGCCCCAGCTGTTATAGCCATCTGGGGAATGAACCAGCAGATGGGAGATCTCTCTGTCTCTCCTTCTCTTTCACTGTAACTCTTTCAAATAAAGTAATAAAATCTTAAAAAAAAGAATAAAGAATGCACATAAATGAGAACAGGTGGTGTATACATGAGTGAAGCAAACATCTATATAAAGCACCACAAACCTCGATAAATAATACAATTCAATTTTTCTATCTGGTCTAAAACATTATTGAATTTTGCTGTTGTATTGCAGCAGGGAGTGACAGCATTTTAGCCTCAATCTACTATCCCTCCTAGGAACACTAATTGAGCACTGACTGTATTCCAGGTAGTGCGTGAGCACTTTATATGGAAAATCTGCAATGTACCTTAGGGAGCAAGTGCAACCGTTATTGTCAACTATAGATGATGCCTTGTTATTCTGAGAGCTGCTCTCTGTTCCATAGATATAAGGAGAACATGACTTAAAACTAATTTCTTTCAGCTCAAGTATTTAAAAAAAAACCAGGAATTTGTGTGAAACAATGAAGTATCCATAACACAGCAAGTCAGATTTATAGATAAAATAATAAATATAAAAATTCTCTAAGAAAAAGACATCATTGGAATACTGCTATTTGTAAGAATTAAGTGATTGAACTAAAAGAGAAGAGCAGAATAAAGATCATATGCGAAACAACCTTCCAGAAACGTGAAATATCAAGAAAATTAAATCTCAGCCACATTTTCATATAGAAACACCAACTTTCCCCATTTCATTCCATTCTTAACATTTAGTCTTGCTTTACATTTCAGTAAATCAAAATATATAAAAGACACTGACTTTCAGATTTTTAAAACGATTTATTTATTTATTTGAAAGGCAGAGTTACAGAGAGGCAGAGGCAGAGGCAGAGAGAGAGAGAGAGACAGAGAGAGACAGAGAGAGAGAGAGTCTTTCATCCTCTGGTTCACTCCCCAGATGTCTGCAATTGCCGGAGCTGGGCTGATCCCACGCGGATGTGCGGGTACAGGGGTTCAAGGACTTGGGCATCTTCTACTGCTTTCCCAGGCCATAGCAGAGAGCTGGATTGGAAGTGGAGCAGCCGGGACTCGAACCAGTGTCCATATGGGATGCTGGCATCGCAGGCGGTGGCTTTACCCACTATGCCACAAAGCCAGCCTTGATTTTTACTCTTTGAATTCAGATGCCATCAATAAGTAAATTGTCAGAGTGAATGGAGAACACTGGTTTAATTCTCAACATTAAAAAAACAGAATTATTCCAAAATAACCCATAAAGCTGTTTGAAATTTTCTTTAACTTATGGAAATATTAGTAGGCATGTGGTCACATGCAAATCCTAACTATTGTGATAATACACTGGGCATATAGGAGAGTCACAGAATTCAGAATGCAAATTCATTTCTTTTGATTTTAGAAAAAAAGAAGCAGTAAAATTGCCTGTTACAAAATATTTCTAAAATGAATGGGAAAATGTATATAGATTGATTAAAAAAAAAAACCTGAGTAATTTCATAGAGCAAACACTATCGTTTCACTAACCCCAGTTCCAACAAAATTTTCTATCAGGCTCTTTTCTGTATGTATAATGTGTATGACTATATATTTTTTTCTTTGTTTAAATTATAGGATTGCAGTAGGATTCTTTGCAGTTGAAGCACTGAAGTGACAGCTGTTCATCATTATCCTCATCAAGGGAATGTAAAATAAAAATAGTAATTTGTCTCTGATCTTTGAGGCAAAAAAGAATGGTCTGCAAACATTTAACCTTTTATGTGCAGTTCACTGATGCTGTTTACAGAACGTGAGTAACATTGTAGAAGCCAACTTTCTTCTGAAAAACACAATGGGCTGGCATTCCTACTACAATTTCCTTCTAAGTAGCTTTTGAGAAACATAATTCAGTTTTAAAAATGTAAAAAATAGCAACACAGAATTGTAAATCTGAAATTGTTTTTATAAAAATTACCATAACTTTGTTTCTTATGAAATTATTTGTACCGTATTTAAGAAGTAGGCCACTTTACAACATTTTAATTTCAAATCTTCCCCTCATAAGGCTTACTGCTTTAATAGGTGACAGAATGAAAGGACCAAATTACAACCGATTCCCACTACACCTTGAAGCATCTACCATATAAGCTCGAGGCTTGACAGGACATCTTTATTTCATGTGCTTTGTTTCCCTTTTTGTCCATTTCTTATTTAATTATGTCATGAGGCTTATTTGGTGAACATTGAAGCCATCTAAATAAGCTGGTGACTTCAACTCCTTAAATGTGGAGTAACAGAAATTGAATATATCCTGGCAGTAATAGGTCCATAAAAATACTACTGAGCAAATGGAGAGTGTTGGACAACAGTCTACAGACCTCACAAGTGAATTTTTCAGATAACCAACACCTGTCCCCCTTGAAAGCATCTATTGTTATTACACAATTCTCCACGGCCTTAAAAAAAGACACAGAAATGTCACTGAACTTTATCTTAGCAGATCAGATCTTCATCATGAAACATGGTTATCATGGTAATGCACCTCTCAATTTTCCAGCTCCACATGATTGAGAATATTTTCAATGAAAACTTTCTCCACTCCCAATCTTTCATTTCTAATTTACTGAGGCCATTAAGGTATGCAGCCAAATGTGTGAAACTATGTGAGGAACATGCCCCAGAAGGCCTGGGAGGGGAAGTGTGGGCTGCAGTCTGGCACCTTGTGACATTTTGTTGGTCAATTCAGCCAATATTTATTAAGTGTCTGGAGAGGACTGTGGGAGGCAGAAAAGAAGTCTGAGAATATAGGCCTTGCTTGAGTGCTTCTTCTGCAGTGGGAGGGCACTGAGAATGAGATGAGTCCATGAGGACAAGGATGGGGCTGACCCATCCTGGGGAGCAGCATGCCTCAGGGCAGTCTTCATGAGTGGGAACACTTGGGGAGGAGTTAGAAGTTAGATGGCATTTCAAAGACAAGATACAGGCAGAGTTGGGGGGAGGAGAGATACAGAGACAGAGAGAATATCTTCCATTATGTGGTTCACTACTCAAAGATCTGCAATGGCCAGGATTGCGCCAAGCAGAAGGTTGAAGCCAAAACTTTACTCCTGTCTCCAATGTGGGAGGCAGGGGCCCAAGTACTTGGGCCATCTTCTGTTGCTTTTCCTAGGTTATCAGCAGGGAGCTGGATAGGTAGTGGAGCAGTTGGGAGACCACCCATTTGGGATGCCAGAGCTACAGTTTAACCTGCTTTGCTACAATGGAGGGGACATGCTCTTTTATTTTATTTTTCTTTTAGTACTTAGCACAGTGCCTTATGTATATAGCAAGGGTTTAATAAATATCGAGTAGTAAATACAGAAAAGAGAGCATAGACCACTTCCTAAGTGGTGGAGTTTTTCTTTCAAATGGAGGTAGAGAGACTGAACTCCGGAGAGCTGGGGGTTGCTTTATGGGAAGTGTGAGTGACCACTCACATTCCTTGAACCCAGTTCTTCACGTAGAGCCTTTTCTTTGCGTGGACAGGGTAAGATCTGCATCCAGTGCTGCATTTCTGATGATATGAAGATCCTGAGGATTCTGACTGGGAAGAGCTACAAATTTGAGGGAAATCTTCACTCCAGGCATACGTGGATTAACAATAAAGTAATCTCCAGAATCGAACTTTGAATGTTTACATTATTGTCATTCTTCTTTACTTCCTCCCTTTCAACTGTTCCTACCTTTTTATCCTCTGTGTATCTTTTACTCTCATTTCTTCTCTAAGTAACATCATAATACATATTACAAAACTAAGAATAATGTGAAATTAAACCACTATTAAAGAAAACTTGGGATATTAAAGATGTTTACTTGATTAAACAAAAAACTCAACAAAAATCCTTATTTGTTTATTTGAGAGGCAGAAAGACAGAGAGAGACAAAGGCAAACAGAAAGACAGATCTCAAGCCTGCAAGTTTATTCCCGAAATGCAGGCAAGAGCTGGGCTGGACCAGGCTGAAGCTGGGAGCCAGGAACTCAAAGTCAGGTCTCCCATGTGTGGGTGGCAGGAACCCAGTCACTTCAGCCAATACAGCTGCCTCCCAGGGTTTGCATTGGCGGGAAGCTAGAGTTAGGAGCAAGGGCCAGATATAAAACCTAGGTACTCTGATATGGGATGCTGGCATCCTAACTAACATTTTAACTATCAGGCTCTGATGTGCCTCTATATCTTTTTTTTTAAATTGCTTCTCAGCCCCCAAACGTCTGCCAGATGAGATCCCAGTGGAAAGAACGGGTCATCAAAGAAGGAGGTACCTTTCTCTGAAGGGAGGAGAGAACTTCCACTTTGACCATGGCCTTGTCTAAATATGATCAGAGTCAGTGAACTCAGGGGGCTTCCATAGCCTTGGCAGCTCATGACAAGAGCCTAGGGTGATTACTGATGCCATAAACAAGAGTGTCAATTTGTTAAGTCAACAACAGGAGTCACTGTGCACTTACTCCTCATGTAGGATCTTTGTCCTTAGTGTGCTGTACACTGAGATTTAATGCTATAACTAGTACTCAAACAGTATTTTTCACTTTATGTTTCTGTGTGGGAGCAAACTGTTGAAATCTTTACTTAATATATGCTAAACTGATCTTCTGTATATAAAGAGAATCGAAAATGAATCTTGATGTGAATGGAAGGGGAGAGGGAGTGGGAAAGGGGAGGGTTGCAGGTGGGAGAGACGTTGTGGTGGGGGAAGCCATTGTAATCCATAAGCTGTAATTTGGAAATTTATATTCATTAAATAAAAGTTAAAAAAATAAAAATAAAAAAAAGAAATCCCCAATAAATAAGCTGGCTGAGACAACCACGAATAACTAAAATTTGGAGGAATAGGGGGCAGGAGATTAGCCTCGTACAACTAATAGTCATTGAATTGAAGATGCATAAAACAACCACTTTGGCTGCAACTGAGAAAAAATGTAGATATGGGGATTCTCAGGGAAATCTGAAAATTCATATTCCCCATCCTGCTGCCCTCCTAAAAATAGCCATTCTAACCTAATTTTTAATCTACCTAAAGACCTCTATTGCTTTATATAACAAAGGAATTCAGAAACCTAAAAATTGATGTAGCAAGTATTGTACACACAGTAAAAAATGTTGTTATTTAAATACTCTCACTGCTGATTCTTGTTAAAATTGTGAATATTTATTTTGGGTAGATCTCTTTATTTATATACTGAGTTTGCTTCCCATAAAATAATAACTTTCCACACAAAGGATAAATGGTTGAAGCAGGATAATTTAAGTACTTTCTTTTTCAAAAACAACCATTGCCTTCATCACCACTTTTTGTTATAGATATTATTAGCATTTTGGAAAGAACTAAGATTATTTTTCAAGGATTAACTATTGGGAGAAATATCCTCATTTGTTTACAATGTAACTTTCTTACAAGAAAATCCTTTACCTAAAATGAAGTGAAATTAGAGTCAATGGCTACAAGTTTCCTTAAGTTTAGTTTTTAGTGAAAACAAAACAAAACAAAACAACAGAAAATTTATCTGGAATAACGAAATGGGAAATGGAATATGTGCAAAGAGAAAAATCACTAGGGAATGAGGATAAAATAAGGGTGCGTTATAAAATAGTCTGTGTTGGCTAATTTTGTGTGTGAATTTGGCTGGGCCCTGGGTGCCCAGATACTTGGTAAGATAGTGTTGAAGGTTTCTGTGAGGGTATTTTTGGATGAGAGTAACTTTTAAATTGTGGGCTCTGAATAAAGCAGATTGCTTTCCATAAATACTAAAATGACCTCCTCTACTCATTTGAAGGCACGGCTGTTTCATGAAGACTGGTCTCCCCTAAACAGGAAGGAATCCCCCAGCAGGCAGTTCTCAGTCTCCATCTGCAATGTAACCTCTTCCTTTCCTGGTCTACAACAGACAGGACATAACCTGGAACATCGGCTCTCCTGGGTCTGCAGCCTCCTGCCCATACTGCAGATTTTCTCCGTAATCATGTGAGCCGATTCCTTGTAAGCACTCTTTTTCCGCATATAAGCATATCCCATTGGTCTGCTTCTCTGGAGAGTCCTCAGTAAGGCACAGTTCCATTGTAGATTACAGAGAAGTATGCAGCTTAATGATAGTATATTGTTGTCTTAGTTCTTTTTTTTTTTAATGCCATAACAGGATACCACAGACAAGGTAATTTATATAAAAATAAATTTACTTCCCTCCCACCCGCAACCTTCTCACAGTTTTGGAAGCTAGGGAGTCCAAGACCGAAGGGCTGAATTTTGTGAGGCCTTCTTGCTGTGTCACAACACGCAGAAGGGCAATCAGCATGAGAGACAGAAAGAAAAGGCAAGAGAGGGCCAAACAGACAACAGACCTCTCAGGATGACAAGCCCCTCCAGACCGGATCACTTTGCAAACACCCCAGCTGTTAATACTATTGTGATGGCAACAAAATTTGAATGCAAAGTTTAGAGGGGACACTCAAACCATAGCAGTTGAGTAAACAGGAGCTACTTGAATTCGGAAAAGGAGAATATCAGGGAGGTCTGTGATACAGCGTTGGGATAAGAGTTGTGCTCTACTGATTCACCTTTACTTCACAGCATTCTCTAAGGGAGACAGAGGTGAGGCAACAAGCTCTTGTTATTCTGCTTTTGTGGTAGATCCAATGTTAATCTGGGAAGCTTCCTCTCTCTCACTTTCAGACCTGGTGGTGAGATGGGACTGCTTGTCCTGGGGCTGAGCCATTCTATTCTCTAATCCAGTCTGGCCACTGGGATGACAGAGGTGGCATGTGGTCCAGCAAAATCCCACCACATTTGAAAACTTGTTAAGCAAGAAAGCCTGGGAGCAAGCCTGCCTCAGCATGTAGACCTGTTGAATCCAGCAATTGGAAACCATTATGCTTAGTGAAATGTCAGTCCCCAAAAGACAAATATCATATGTTTTCCTTGGTTTGTGGTAGTTAATATACAGAGCTCAGAAAAGGTAATGTATATAAGCAAAATTGACATTCTGAGATTTGATTGTTTTTAAGCCCTTGTCTATACTCTTGAAGAACAGTGGCTTTTCTACTTACTACTTGTTGAATTCTTAATTTGGTGGAGGGTTAAGCTTGCAATTATAAAATAAACTGAAAGTATGTCATTGTAAAAATTAAAATAAAAAAGACAAAAGGAAGGAGGAGGGAGGGTGGAAGTGTGGGTGTGAGAGAACATGGCGTGGGATGGATCACTGTGCTCTTAAATATGTGTATATGACACACATGAAATTTGTCTACCTTATGTAAATAAAAAACTGATCTACAAATAAAGCCGATCTACAAATCCTGTGATAAAACACATATTTCCAAACGTTACTAGGATGACTACACTACATACACATAGTTCCACAAGAAATGCCTTATGGATATAGAGCAGCTCTTCATGCAGCTGATCGTGATGAAGGCTCCTTTTGATTCAAAGTGATTCCTTTGCTAGTGTTAATTCTGTGACATCACAATTATTGCAAAATTTACATACTCAAGTAATCATATGAACATTATAATCGCAAGAAAAGTACCAGTGGTTTTATTCCTAGGAAGCTAATACCCGGGAAAAAAATGAGCAAGCTGACTAGAGTAATATATGTTTTTGAAATTCTACTTTCATTATCTACAAACACAGAACCTAAACCTAATCTACTTTCACTAACTAAAGTTATAAAACTATAAAGAAATTTTAACTTTTTCTATCTATCATACTATTAATCTATCATACTATTTATTTAGTAGGTATTTTTAAAGTTCATTCATTTTAGAATCAAGGGATTAAGGAGTTAAAAGGTTAATACACATGGGGCGGGTGCTGTGGCATAGTGGGTGAAGCTGCTGCCTGCAGTGACAGCATCCAATAAGGTGCTGGTTTGAGTCCCAGCTATTTCACTTCTGATCCAGCTCCCTGCTAATGGCCTGGGAAAGCAGTGAAAGATGGCCAAGTGCTTGGGCACTTTCCTGCACCCACGTGGGAGACCCATAGGAAGCTCTTGGCTCCTGGCTTTGGATCGGCCCAGCTCCAGCAGTTGCAGCCATTTGGAGGGTGAGCCAGCAGATGAAAGACCTCTCTGTCTCTCTGCCTCTGTCTGTCTGTAACTCTGCTTTTCAAATAAATAAATAAATAAATAAATCTTAAAAAGAGAGAAAAAAACACATAGTTTATGGTTCTATTTTATGATTATATTAAAAAAGGTTTATACAACAAAGAACTAAGTCTAGTTATAAACATTGAAATATGGGCAACAATGTGATAGAAAAATCATAGATACTGTAATAAAACAAAATCTGGGGCCTGCATTGTGGTGTAGGGGGTTAAGCTGCAGCTTGCAATGCTGGCATCCCATATGGGCTCCTGTATATAGTCCTGGCTGTTCCACTTACAACCCAGCTCCCTGCTATGTGCTTGGGAAAGCAGCAGAAGACAGTCCAAATGCTTGGGCGCCTGCACCCATGTGGGATACCAGGATGAAGCTCCTGGATCCTGGCTTCAGCCTAGTCCGGCCCCAGTTATTGTGATCATTTAGGGAATGAACCAGCGGACTGAAGATCTTTCTATCTCCCCCTTCAACCTCTTGCCTCCCTGTAACTCTGTCTTTCAATAAAATAAATCTTTAACAAAACAAAACAAAACAAAAGAAACCAAAATCTGTCAACTTTTCATTCTTCAAAAACATTTATATGAGTAAGTACAGATACCCCGCAGTAAAGTGTAAGTATAGTAAAATATAGGAGAGTACTAGAGAGAGCAGGGGCAATAAAATTTAGTATTAAGAAAACAGCACAGAAGACAATAACAGATAAAGTACATAGCAAAATAAGAGCACAGGAATGTAGTTTGCCTTATTCTTTTTTATGAGGTAGACAATCTTTCAAAGTTCAATGTAAATATGATTACTCTATAATCAGAAACTGCTTAATAAAAAACAAAAGCATACAATGCATTAAAACAGCAAACAATGGTAAAATTCTGTGGGTAGAAGCATTTCTTTCAAGAGTGCAAAAAATTACAGAAAGCCTTACAAAAAGCAACTATACACATTTTAAATTTCCCAGGGGCCCGCTGAACACTGTATTTGATAAAGCTGTCACCTACATTCAAATGCAGAATCCCCCTCAAATCCTCAAGATAACTTTTCAGCAGTCCATACACATGAATTGGTCAGTAGATCTTTCTTACACATTCCAGAGCTCAGAGGCCTTACCAGATGAAGAAACTGACAAAACCCAAACCTAAAAACTGTTTCTGTTCATTTCTGCTAAAAGGGAGAGATGAAAGTAAAATCCTAAGAAATTTCCCAGGTTGGGCTGCTGCAAATCTCCCTTTTCCAATATATAAAGACAGAGCATGTGTGTGTAGCTATGCCACTGGGTCGCATCTGACCAGGTCACCAAATGTGTCCCAGAGCTGGAAAGCTACTCCCACACTTGCCAAAAACAGAAATCCATCTCTGTACATACATCTAATTAAGAAATAAACTAAAATTTAAAGAAGTTTGTTTCAATTTAGCAACTTTCAGTTTAAAGAAAAAAATTTATAAAGATGATAAACGCATTCTGAGGGTGGTGAAACTACTTCTCTTGAGAATAAAACTGATTGAAAGAACTACACTCTAACAATCATAATCATGAGCTCAGGGGCTTATTTTCTCCTGGTTCCTTCCGCCTTGGTTTGAATGCATCCACCAAATTTAGTGGGTTGGAAACTTCATATTCAGTGTAACTGCGTTGGGAGGTGGGGCTCTTTTTTCATTAATGGATTAATGTCAGCATCTTGGGACCTGGGTAGTTTTCATGAGAGTGTGTGGTCACAAAGTCAGGTTTGGCCCCCTCTTGCTTGCTCTTCCTCTCTTGCCTGCCCTGTGCCTTTCCACTGCGTGGTGCCTTCTGTCATGTTATCTGGGGAGGCCCTCCCCAGATGCATCAGTTTGTTCTTGAATTTTCCAACCTCCAGGATCATGAGCCAAATAAGCTTCTGCTCATTACAGATTACTCAGTCTAGGGAACTGTGTTATAGCTGTAGAAAATGAACTGATCCTTCATCTCTCTTCTGAAATTGAGTGTGTGTGTGTGTGTGTGTGTGTTGCCTGCTTGATAATACAAAGAACGTACAGAAAAAAACTGTGCTCACCTTAATGCCAATCTTTGCTTCAGCTATTAGATTTTATCTACTTCTTATAATAAAGTACCAAAAAGCTGGCACTGTGGCATAGGGGGTAAAGCCGCCGTCAGCAGTGCCAGCATCCCATACGGGTGCCGGTTCGAGTCCCGACTGCTCCACTTCCAATCCAGCTCTCTGCTATGGCCTGGGAAAGCAGTGGAAGATGGCCCAACTCCTTGGGCCCCTGCACCCGCATGGGAGACCTGGAAGAATCTCTTGGCTCCTGGCTTCGGATCAGCGCAGCTCCAACCATTGTGGCCAACTGGGGAGTGACCCAGTGGATGGAAGACCTCTCTCTCTGTCTCTCCATTTCTCTCTGTGTAACTCTTTCAAATAAATAAGTAAATTTTAAAAAAATAAAAAAATAAAGTGCCATAAAGGATAGATGCTTAAAGATCAGCATGTTATAGCTTCATTCATAACAAAAATTAAAGCTATTCTAAGGGAAATTTTATAAAAAGACACATGTCTGAAAAAACCCTATATGATTTAAAAATTTAAGGTATACGAGGTTGTTCTGAGGGTTGTATTAGTATGATTTGTAAGGATGACTTGAAATATAAGATAAAATTTGGGGGCCAGCATTGTGGCATAACAGGTTAGCCCACTGTCTGTGATACCAGCTTCCCACATGGGCACCAGTTTGTGTCCTGGCTGTTCCACTTCCAATCCAGATCCCTACTAATGCACCTGGGAAGGTAGCAGAAGATGGCACACGTATGTGGGCCCATACTATGCATGTGGTAGACCCAGAAGAAGCTCCTGGCTCCAGCCTGGCCCAGTTCTGGCCTTTACAGCCACTGGGGGAGTGAACCAGAGGATGGAAGATTTCTCTGTGTCTTTGTTTCTTTTTCTCTTGGTAACTCTGCTTTTCAAATCAATCAATAAATAAATAAGACTTTTAAAACAGATAAAAATTTGATGTCATTGTTTAAAAGCTTTCTTCCCCTATATTGCTTTTCAAGTAAATTAAAAGCAGAAATCAGATGACCACTAACAATTATTAATGGGATTCTAAGTAATAATTTTATGACTGTATCAAGATGTTTCTTTACAAAATAACAAGGTAACTTTATATAAAAGATGAAAATGTTGCTACGAAGTTTATTATTGTATGAATTCATAATTTCTTCCAAATTTCTCCTCTTACTAGCTGTGATTTCCAAATTGTTAGATATGTTATTCATGATTACCATTTTTCCTTCTGTTAATTATATATGTATACTCAATCCATATAAACATTTTCAAATTAAATCATATATGATAATTTTTTAATTAACTTTAGATAAATTAAATTTAATTAATTTAAAGTCAATGAAAAACTTAACAGAATCATGTTCTTTGAAATTTTCATCACAAAACTTTATACTACTTTTTGAATGAATTAAAAATGATGAATTAAAAAGTGATGTTAACAGCATTATACAGTGAATTCTATATAATTTCTTTTTTAAAAAAAAAAAAGTTCATATACCTGGCAGGCAGAGAGAGACACACACAGAGAGATTCATTTCTCATCTGTGAAATTCACACCCCAAATGCCCCCAGTGGTGTTGGTTGGATTAGGCCAAAGTCAGGAACCTACAACTCCATCTGAGTCTTCCAGGTTTGTTAACAGGACCCAACTACTTAAGCCATCACATGCTGCTTCCTGGAGTGCACATTAGCAGGACGTAGCAACAGAGCCAGAACTCAATCCAGGCAATTATTATTATATGGGATGTGTGTTTCCTAAGTGGCACTTAAAAAAATATTTTCATCTACTTGAAAGGCAGTGTGACAGAGAGAGGAAAGGAGGGGGAGAGAGAGAGAGAGTGATCTTTCATCTGCTGGTATATTCCCCCCGGAAGCCTACAACAGCCAAGGCTGGGCTAGGCCAAAGCCAGGAGTGTAGCACTTCATCCAGGTCTACCATGTGGATAGCAGGGGCCTAGGCACTTAAGATATCATCTGCTGCCTCCCAGGATGCATTAGCAGGAAGCTGGATAGGAAATAGAGTACCTGGAGCTGGGAGTGGCATTCCAGTACAGGATACAAGGTATCTAAGCAGTGGCTTAAGCCTCAAAGTCACATACACCCTGAGTCTTAACTGCTTTGCCAAATGCTTGCCCTCAATAGAGTTTCTAGCACTATTCCTCAATGAC